TTTGATAAAATTCAACATTCATTCATGCTAAAAGCTCTGGAGAAAATAGGAATAGAAGGAACATTTCTAAAAACAATAAAAGCCATTTATGACAGACCAATAGCCAATATTATACTTAATGGGGAAAAGCTACAACCAATCCTCCTAAAAACAGGAACAAGGCAAGGATGTCCACTGTCTCCACTCCTCTTCAACATAGTCCTAGAACCCTTAGCCAGGGCAATAAGGCAAGAAAAAGACATTAAAGGGATCCGCATAGGGAAAGAAGAAGTGAAACTATCCCTTTTTGCAGACGACATGATACTATACCTCCACGATCCCAAAAACTCCATCCCCAAACTTTTAGAAATCATAAGTCACTTCGGCAAAATAGCAGGATACAAAATAAACCCACAAAAATCAGTTGCCTTCCTATACACTGATAACGCACAGGAAGAGAGGGAAATAAAGGGAGCAACCCCATTCACAATAACCTCCCAAAAAATAAAATATTTAGGAATTAACCTAACCAAAGATGTAAAAGAACTATTTAATGAGAACTATAAAAAGTTAAAGAAAGAAATTGCAGAAGACACTAGGAAATGGAAAGACCTCCCATGCTCCTGGATAGGCCGACTTAATATAGTAAAGATGGTGATACTTCCAAAATTAATATACAAATTCAATGCAATTCCTATTAAAATCCCAATGACGTACATCACTGAAATACAGAAAACAGTCCAAAAATTTATATGGAACAAAAAAAGACCTAGAATAGCCAAAACAATTCTAGGGGATAAAGACAATATGGGAGGGCTATCCATGCCGAACTTCAAACTCTACTACAGAGCTATAATCACAAAGACAGCATGGTACTGGCACAAAAACAGACCCGAAGACCAATGGAACAGAATAGAAGATCCAGATATAAATCCACAGGCCTACAGCCAGCTGATATTCGACAAAGGAGCCAAAGACATACAATGGAAGAAACACAGCCTCTTCAACCGCTGGTGCTGGGAAAACTGGGCAGCCACATGCAGAAAACTAAAAGTGGACCCCAGCCTATCACCATGCACCAACATCAACTCAAAATGGATTAAAGACCTTAACATTAAACCTGAATCTCTGAAACTACTGCAGGACAGAGTAGGAGAGACACTTGAACTAATAGGCACAGGAAGGAACTTCCTGAACAGAGTCCCAGGGTCACAACAAGTTGGAGAGAGACTCGACAAATGGGACTACCTTAAAATAAAAAGCTTCTGCACAGCTAAATCTATCGCAACTAAGCTAGAAAGACAACCAACTAATTGGGAAAAAATATTTACCAGCAATATATCAGACAAGGGGTTAACATCCTGTATATACAGGGAACTCAAGAAACTAATCCCTCCCAAACCTAACAAACCAATTACTAAATGGGCAAGGGAACTAAAGAGGGACTTCTCAAATGAAGAAATAAAAATGGCAAAGAAACACATGAGGAAATGTTCATCATCCCTGGTGGTGAAGGAAATGCAAATAAAGACAACCCTGAGATACCACCTTACCCCAGTCAGAATGTCCCACATCCACAAATCAGCCAACGACAAATGCTGGAGGGGATGTGGAGAAAGAGGAACCCTATTACACTGCTGGTGGGAATGTACACTTATACAACCACTTTGGAAAGCAGTCTGGAGGGTCCTTAGAAAGCTAAAGATTGACCTCCCTTACGACCCAGTCATACCACTTCTAGGCATCTACCCTGAACAACAGGAACCAATATACAAGGACACGTGCACCTCCATGTTTATTGCAGCACTGTTCGCAATAGCTAGGATATGGAAACAACCTAGGTGCCCCACCACAGATGAATGGATCCAAAAATTGTGGTATCTATACACAATGGAATATTATGCAGCCATTAGAAATGACAAAATAATGGCATTTGCAGGGAAATGGATGGAGCTAGAAGGAATCATGTTGAGCGAGGTAAGCCAAGAACGAAGAGACAAACGGTACATGGTCTCCCTCATAAGTGGATGCTAAATCCAAAAGGTTAGTGATACGACAAAACTAACAGGACTTAAGAAACAAAGAACTCCCGCTCATCTGGTTGAACCACTACTAAATATCCTCATGCTGCTGATCACAAATATGGTATATAACATGTGAACACTGTTATATATTACAGACTGTGGTAGACAATTTGCTCCAGGGAAGTTAGAATGAACTTGTGACTTTGAAATTATGTAATCATTTAATCACAATCAAAAAAAAAAAAAAAGAACCTCGGGGAAGGGAGGGAGGGAGGGGATGGTAGGGGGAAAACAATGGAGGGGGTAACAATGTTCAAGAGGAAGTGTACTCATAACCTCACTCATGTAACTGTGACCCTCTGTATAGTAGCTTTACAATAAAAAAAAAAAAAAAAAAAGGTATACATACAAATAAAGACACAGGTTTGATAACAACATACATTAGGGCTTTAAAGTGAAATAAAGAAAGATCAATGAATAATCATTCCCTTCTGTTACCTGTATAATATCAGATTTGCTATCCAGGATTCTCACATACTTGTCATTTTTTCTTTCTAATTTTGGTATTATAAAACAAGGTAATTAAACTAGTCAATATTGAAGAAACAGTATTTATTTGAAAAGTTTTAACAATGCAACAATATTCTAATATCTATATTCATATTCTTTAATAAATATCCACAATACAATGTTAAGCGAAGACTTCACACTTTTTAAGTCCTAAATCTAAGATAATAAAAGTCTATCTGAAAGTTCAGAATCTATGTACTTAATTGACACCTACCGTACAAAGCAGTGGTGCTGAAATCAGTTGCGGGGCAATTAAGTATTACCGTAAAAATAGAGACACTACCACAGAAAATAATAGTGAAGAGAATGATGGTTGCTGAAAAAAAATACCAAAAGAAACACTTTTCTGTACAAAATGAAGTTAGGAGGAATATGAAATTACATATTTTAACTGCTCTCCTAGTCTATTTTCCTTACAAGTAAAATTCAATTGATGATGGCATATAATTTCATCAGTGAATCTGAGTCCCTTTCTCTGAGGCTGATTTTCATCATATGTGGCAAAACAAAAGTAAAATTAGAAGACTTTCATTAATATGCATCATTATGTCATAAATTCAGATAACAAAGCAGAAAGCAAGTTCCCAAAGGTCTCACTATATGCAATAAAAACTTCAAGCTACATAATTAATCCCTGCCTATTGAAAAGCTGGTTGCAACAGATATGCAATCTTGTTAACTAATATAGATTGGTGCTAAACAGGCAATAAAAATTGGATTTTTGTTTATAGTTCTGGCTGAGATCAGAAATGCACAGTGAAAGTCAAAGTAGATGAAGGTATATCACTGATATTGAGAAAACATTTAATTCTACAGGTATAAAAGAAAGCCTACATAAGTTAAATTTATTGAAGTTCTGATACAGTAACCATCTATTAAGCGTATAATTAGAAATTTAAAATAGATTAAAATATACAGTGAAGTAGTACATAATAAAAGGTATGAATAACAGAAAATTCTAATTTATCCTATAACTTTAATACTCTTTCTTTTTTTAAAAATTTTTTTATTTTTATTTTTTATTTTTGTCGGTCATGGGGCTTGAACTCTGGGCCTGGGCGCTGTCCCTCAGCTCTTCATCTCAAGGCGAGCGCTCTACCACTTGAGCTACAGCACCACTTCCTCAATATTCTTTCTTTTTTCCACCAAACATACTAAAAGCTAAAGCAAACAGTGAAACTGAATAGGCAGAGTTTTACTTTCTTCCTTTGTTCAATTCATCTCAAAGTAGATAAATTTAAAAATATATATTGTAAAAAAGCATAGTAGCTGGGCACCAGTGGCTAGCACCTATAATCCTAGCTACTCAAGAGGCTGGGAGGTGAAGGGTAAACAAAGGAGGAGGCTGCAATGCTTGGTAAGAAATGTATGCATTATCCTGCCCATGTAATTGTAACCCCTCTGTACAGTATGTTCTCAAATAAAATAAAATAAAACTTAAAAAAAAAAAATTCAAAGCCAGCCTGAGAGGAAAGTCTATGAACCTCTGATCTCCAATTAGAAAAAAGGCCAAAAGTGGAGCTTTGACTCAAGTGGTAGAATACTATCCTTAAGCACAAAAAGCTCAGGGACAGTACTCAGGTCCTGAGCTCAGGTCCAAGACTGGCACATACACACAAAAATAATCTACATAGTGTTCAAATCTTGTGAGGATGAAATGAGTTAATATTCATTAAGTACCTAGCAGAGTACATGACAAATAATAAATAATAGCAATAACACTAAATGGAATTGTTATAATTACTTGCTAATATTAACAGCACTTTTCATTTTCACAGAAGTTCTTAACAACTTCTTAAATTCTTAATAATTTACAGATTTCACACTGATTCTAATATAGTTGGATATCAAATATTTGAGTAAGAACACAAAAAAAGTTACAGTGACTCATCTAACAAATTTATTATCTCTGACTGGAAATAAAAAATTCGTAGTCCAACTGTGTTTAGCTAACTTAAGTTCAGAACAGAACATTAAGGTATTAATTTAGTTAACTGAACTTAAAAGTACTGAAAGTTAGGGGCTGGGAAGGTGGCTCAGTGGTAGAGCACTTGTCTTGCATGCTTAAGGCCCTGGGTTCGATTCCTCAGCCCCACATAAGCAAAAAGAAAAAAGCCGGAAGTGGCACTGTGGCTCAAGTGGTAGAGTGCTAGCCTTGAGCTGAAGAGCTGAGGGACAGCGCCCAGGCCCAGAGTTCAGGCCCCACGACCGGAACAAAAAAAAAAAAAAAGTACTGAAAGTTTTAGTTTACAAAAAAAAATGGCAGTTTTCAGCATTTATCCTTAACTATCTTCTTTCAACTTTTTTGAGATATACTATTAATTATAAGGCAATTAAATGTATTCTACTAACCTAATTAATTTAATTTGATAAGAGTAAAATTAAGATTCGGTGGATCAAGATTCAAGACCAAAGCACTAATGGCCCATGCCGGTGATCCCAGCTACTCAGGAGGCTGAGATATGAAGATAATGATTCAAAGCCAGCTCAGGTAGGAAAGGGTATGAGACTCTTATCCTCAATAACCAACAGAAAATCAGAAGTGGAGCTGTGGTTCAAAGTGTTTTGCCTTAAGCGAAAAAGCTCAGTCAGGGACAGCACCTGGACCCTGAGTTCAAGTCCCATGACTGACCAAAACAAAAAGAAAAAAAAAAAAAGGAAAAAGATTCAAGCCCAGTCTGGGCAACAAATTCCATACCCTATCTGAAAAAAAAAAAGAAAAATAAGTTTATATTTTACAAGGTAACCAGAAAAGTTACATGATTATGATCTCACTTCCTAAAAATATACTATGAAAACCATTGCATTTTCCAAGTCATCAAAAATGAGGCCTTATTGCTCCCAGCAATAAGACATGACCATAACTTGACTTACTTTTCTGGTCCCTTTAAAAGTATTCTTTTTTGGAGAGAAAAAGCTCAAGGAACAGCACCCAGGCCCTGAGTTCAGGTCCCAGGCCTGACACACACACACACACACACACACACACACACACACACACACACACACACAACACACACACACACACACACACATAGGCAAGAAAAATAAAATTGGTTGGAAAAGAGGAGGTAGAAGAGATCTTCAAGAAGTCACCCTTCCTGGTCCCAGATGACAGTGTTAGCATCTTGGATGGATCCTACGAAGGCATATTAGCCTGGGTTACTGTGAATTTCCTAACAGGTCAGCTGAATGGCCATGGCCAGGAGACCATGGGGACCCTGGACTTGGGGGGAGCCTCTACCCAAATCACATTCTTGCCCCATTTGGAGAAAACCCTGGAACACACCCCTCAAGGCTACCTAACTTCCTTTGAGATGTTTAACAGCACTTTTAATCTCTATACACATAGTTGCTTGGGATTTGGATTGAAAGCTGCAAGACTAGCAACACTGGGAGCCCTGGAGATAGAAGGGATCGAAGTGCCTGTTTACCAAGGTGGTTGGAAGCAGAGTGGATTTTTGGGGGTGTGAAATACCAGTATGGTGGCAACCAAGATGGGGTGATGGGCTTTGAGCCCTGCTATGCTGAAGTGCTGAGAGTGGTGCAAGGCAGACTTCATCAGCCAGAGGAGATCAAGAGAAAATCCTTCTATGCCTTCTCTTACTATTATGATCGAGCTGCTGACACACACATGATTGATTATGAAAAAGGAGGTGTTTTAAAAGTCAAAGATTTTGAAAGAAAAGCCAGAGAAGTTTGTGACAACCTGGAAAGCTTCACGTCAGGCAGTCCTTTCCTATGCATGGATCTCAGCTACATCACAGCCTTGTTAAAAGATGGCTTTGGCTTTGCAGACAGCACTCTCTTACAGCTCATAAAAAAAGTGAACAACATAGAGACTGGCTGGGCCTTGGGGGCTACCTTTCACTTGTTGCAGTCTTGGGCATCTCCCACTGAGGCCAAATCCCCTCAAGTCTGTATTCACTCTTTTTAAGGGGAGGAGAGAAGACACAGTTCAGTTTCCAGACTAGTGTGAGCATAGCCTGTACTAAAGCCCAGGAACTGGTTTTATGAAGAAAGGGCTTTTTATACATGGATTGTGCCCTGGAACCTAGAGATTTAGGTTTAATTTTATACATCTAATGTAAATTGTTACCTAACCACTTTGGGGTACATAGCTGGCACTAGAGTCTTGATTCTTTGTGTGTTACAAAGAATCTGTGAGCAAAAAAAAACCAAACCAAAACAAAAAACAACTTTAGAACTCACTCAGCCTTGGAGAACTCAGGGTCTGGTTCTCTGGGAACCAAAGAAAAATCTCATCCAACCCTTATAGTGCCTCCTTCTTTTGACCATTTAAACTGTCCTCTTAGATGCAAAATTAGTTCAATCACATGACCGATCAATACAAGTATATATTTTTCTTCACCTTCCATTGTCTGTATCCCCTTAAGAGAAAAAAAAACTGGTATTGCTTTCTGTGTGTAATTTTTTAAAAAAGAAAAGGGTATTATATAAGAAAAAAAAAGTATTCTTTTTTGTTGGTGGTGGTGGTCATTGGGCTTGAACTCTGGGCCTGGGCACTGTCCTTCAGCTCTTAAGCTCAAGGCTAGTGCTCTACCACTTGAGACAGAGACACTTCTAGTTTTCTGGTGGTTAATTGGAGAGAAGAGTTTCATGGACTTACTTGCCCAGGCTGGCTTTGAACTATGATCCTCAGATCTCAGCCTCTTTTAGTAGCTGGGATTCCAGGTGTGAGCCACCAAGGCTCCAAAGCTCAGTATCCAGGTACTGAGTTCATATCCAGGACTGGCATTAAAAAATGTAGCCAGGTACTGGTGGCTCATGCCTGTAATTCTAGCTACTCAGGAGGTTGAGATCCCAGGATCATAGTTTGAAGCCAACCCCTGCAGGAAAGTCTATGAGACTCTTATCTCCAACAAACTACTCAGAAGAAGCTGGCACAAAAAGTTGTGACTCAGTGATTTAGCCTTGAGCAAAGGAAGCTCAGAGACAGTGCCCATGCCTTGAGTTCAAGCTCTAGGACTGGCACGTGCATGTGCATGCACACAATGTATTCTTTATAAAGAGAAGAGATATTTCTTAATTTTCTATACTAATTGATGTTGAACTATAATTCTAGACTTTCAATTTATTTGATTACCACACAACTTCTAGTTACTAAGCCAGATACCATAAAGAGGGTACTGAATTTTTCAATCTGAAAATTCTAGTCACTGGAAAGAGTTACCTTCTATTTTAACATAAACTGGCATTCTAATGTGTACATCATTCTCTTATTGCCTTTCATTTGACCTGGGCTCCTGAAGGCTAACCATACATGAGCAAAGTATATATTTATGGTTCTCAGTTGGAAGTTAAGGACTAAATATTCTTTCCCCTTGACAATAGAAAGGAATGTGTACGGGAAGTGGTAGTTTTTAGTTGTTGGTCTAACTAAACCAAATTTAGGCTAACTCACTTATGCATCAGAATGACTAACAAAGAAACCACTTAGAATTTAAACTAAAACATGCATGCTTATGCAGCATCGTTTACAGTAATACTTTTCCCAAAAGAAAACAAGCCTGCTAAATTCAACTGTGCTATCAGATAAAATCCAGAAATAAAATTTCAACGTGAATGAGCCTGGAACATTTCTTATAAATTGACTCAATTATTCCAAGATTTTAAAAGTGTTTGAGAGAATTCCCACCTGGTAAAAAAGTGGGGCAAGAAATTTGCATTTTTGAGCCGGGCGCTGGTGGCTCACGCCTGTAATCCTAGCTACTCAGGAGGCTGAGATCTGAGGATCGCGGTTCAAAGCCAGCCCGGGCAGGAGAGACCCTGAGACTCCTATCTCTAATAAACCACCAGAAAACCGGAAGTGGCGCTGTAGCTCAAGTGGTAGAGCACTTGCCTTGAGCTGAAGAGCTGAGGGACAGCGCCCAGGCCCAGAGTTCAAGCCCCACGACCGACCAAACAAAAAAAAAAAAGAAATTTGCATTTTGAGTGTATGAATTTGAGACTTGGAATCATAACTCAAGACTTTTCTCTGTGTCATGCAAAAGTAAACATATTATTCCTTTAAAAATATCTCTTCCAGGTCTTTGTGATGGTGCAGGATTGTAATGACAACTCTCAGGGACCCAAGGAAATAGTATAGAAAGGTATGGAGAGTTTGAGGCCAACGTGCACCCTTGTTTTCAAAAAGCAAAACCAACCAACCAACCAGAATCGATTCCACACTCCAAAGCTATTCAGTCTCACACAAGAAACCTCAGCTCTTCAAGTGGGGCCACTTAACTTTTAATGAGAAGGACGTAACGTCCATCACCTTCCCAGTTCCCCTTAAACAAAGAACTATCCGCTCTAAATCCTCAGGGTGGAAATCTCCTGGGACCGTGATGCCAAGAACTTGCACTGCCACAGAAATCATCATCATCGCAATCTCCGTCTCCCGGAGACCGAAAGGCTCCGGCTGGGAGGCTGGGGTGGTGGAGGGAGGCGGGGGGTGGGGGTGGGGGACAGGTGAGTTCCACAGGGGCACTGCCTTAGAAGGGAAGCCTTTGAGGATGCAATCGAACGCGAGGCTCCAGGGAAAAGCATGCTTGACCTCCGGATTAGGAATGTTTCAACAAGAGCTTAAAGTGATGGGAGTAAGCAAAAGCGAATGACAGAAAACCATTCACCCTCCACTGCAGCCAGGTAAGTACCGAAAGGAGACAAGGGCCAGCAAAGAGGGGTGGAAGTCTCCCCAAAGACCAGGAATTGGGGGGGGGGGCTGTAAACCAGAGCGTGGCCTTCGTACAGACCTCCGGTTCGGATCAGCCGGCGGGCAGGAGGAAAGGATCGCTTTTACGCTGGCAGAAATAACGCGCGTTCCACTAAGGCAACGAGCCCGGTACGAGATGTCGCCTCTCTCCCTGCTTGCTCCCGTCCATTCCTTTACCTCTCAACTGGAGCTCCTGGGGCACTCGGGGCAAAACTCTGCCAAAGCCTGCGCCGCTGGAGGACAGCTAAAGGAAAATACCTGAGTCCCAGGAATAACACCTGCGGCGACAGGAGGAGGAGGAGGAGGAGGAGGAGGAGGAGGAGGAGGAGGAGCCTTGGACCAGCGGAGCCCAAACAGAATTCTCACTCGCTCTGGTCAAACCTCAACTCTGACGGGCGGGGCGGGGGAAACTTCCGCTCCGAGCCTGGAAACGTCATTTCCGCTTCGTGTCTGGAGCCCCACCCCTCCCCCTTCCATTCTAAACACGTTCCAACGTTCTGACTTCCTCTTCCAGGACACCGCCGGTTCGTAACAGCCAACGTGGACTACAAGACCCAGCATTCACCTCGGGAGGTTGATTTCCGGGTTCATCGGTCCGCGCTGGGTACATCACCATGGAAGCGATCGGTTTGGTCACGTGGTGCTCTTGGTGACGCCCGGTGGCTGCTGTGGGGTCTGGGGCTCAGGCAGGGGCCATTTTGCTAAAGCCTGCCTCCTAGAGTCGGAGGCGGACTGGCAGCTGACTGAAGCTGTTCCTTTTCCTCCTCTACAACGTGCGACCTGGAGAGGCACTGCCAGGCTGGGAGACGAAGACTGAGCGCCTTTCGGAGACGGCCATGGTTCCCTCCAGCCACCGCTACCTGAGGACCCTCCATGGCGGCCGCCTCTTCCGAGCTGCTTCTCCTGCCGCTCCTTCCCACCCCCTTCGCCTGTCCCCTCCAGAGCCTCAGTCGTCCTTCCGCCCCAGAGACTGATGGTACTCGAGCTGGGGGCATCATGAGAGGAGAGAAACACTTCTACTGCCGCGGAGCTGCCGGGGACCACGGTTCCTGCCCCCCGACCCCTTCCACTCTGGCCTCGACCCTCTTGTTGCCGGCGGAGCCCGTCACTAGTAGCTGGTCTGGACCTGGCGGTGGTTTGTCAGGGGGCGACGAGGAGGAGACCCGGCTCCTTCAACTCTTGCGCACGGTACCGGAACCTTCCGAGGCCTTCCAGGCTCTGCAAGCTGCTTTGCCCCGGCGGGGCGGCCGACTCGGCTTTCCCCGACGCAAAGAAGCGTTGTATCGGGCCTTGGGCCGCGTGCTGGTGGAAGGAGGTGGAGACGAGAAGCGACTCTGCTTGCAACTTCTCTCCGACGTTCTCCGGGGTCAGGGGGAGGCCGGCCAGCTAGAGGAGGCCTTTAGCTTAGCACTTCTGCCTCAACTGGTCGTCTCCTTGAGAGAAGACATCCCAGCCCTGCGGAAAGATGCGCTGCAGATCCTACACATCTGTCTGAAACGTAGTTCTGCACAGGTGCTGAGCACGCTTATACAACAAGGTCTAGAAAGTAGCGATGCCAGGCTTAGAGTTTCTACTGCACTCCTCCTCCCTATCTTGCTGACTCCTGAGGATTTTTTGCTGGGCTTGGATCTCACCGAGGTGGTAATTTCTCTAGCCCGAAAGCTCGGCAGTCAGGAGATAGAAGATGAATCTGAGACCGCCTTCTCCGCACTTCAACAAATCGGGGAGCGACTTGGACAAGAAAGGTTTCAATCCTATATTTCTCGGCTGCCATCTGCTCTGAGGAGACAGTACAATCGCCGCCTGGAGTCCCAGTTTGGAAGTCAAGTTCCTTATTATTTGGAATTAGAAGCCTCCGGATTTCCTGAGGATCCTGCCCCCTCTGCGTTGACTCTCTCCAATAGCAATCTTAAATTTGGGATTATTCCGCAGGAGCTGCATGCAAGATTGTTGGATCAGGAAGACTACAAGAACCGGACTCAGGCTGTTGAAGAACTAAAACAGGTGCTGGGAAAATTTAACCCTAGTTCTACCCCTCATTCTAGTCTTGTTGGTTTCATCAGCTTGTTGTATAATTTGTTAGATGACTCTAACTTCAAAGTGGTCCACGGCACACTTCAAGTTCTGCATTTACTGGTGGTTCGCCTTGGAGGACAAGTACAACAGTTCTTGGGGCCAGTTATAGCAGCTTCTGTCAAAGTGCTGGCAGACAACAAGTTGGTGATCAAACAGGAATATATGAAGATCTTCCTCAAGCTAATGAAGGAAGTAGGTCCGCAACAGGTGCTTTGTTTACTGCTGGAACATCTTAAACACAAGCATTCCAGAGTAAGAGAGGAGGTGGTGAACATTTGCATCTGCTCTCTCCTGACTTATCCCAGTGAGGATTTTGACTTATCCAAACTATCCTTTGTTCTTGCCCCAGCTCTTGTAGATAGCAAACGCAGGGTACGCCAAGCAGCTCTAGAAGCTTTTGCAGTGTTGGCATCATCAATGGGCTCAAGTAAAACCAGCATCCTTTTTAAAGCTGTAGATACTGTTGAATTGCAAGATAATGGAGATGGAGTGATGAATGCTGTGCAGGCCAGATTGGCTAGGAAAACCCTACCAAAGCTAACAGAACAAGGATTTGTAGAGTATGCAATACTCATGCCATCTTCTGCTCAGGGGAGGTCAAGCCATTTGTCACATGGAGCAGATACAGACTGGCTTTTGTCTGGTAACAGAACTCAGAGTGCACACTGCCACTGCGGTGACCACACGAGGGACAATATGCAAATGTATGGCTCTTATAGTCCAACTATCTTTACCCGACGGGTATTAAGTGCAGGAAAAGGAAAAAATAAATTACCATGGGAAAATGAGCAACATGGGGTCGTTGGAAACAACCAAACTTCCAGTTCCAACGATACAGAGCAGGTATGCTTTTTTAATATTCTTGAAATAAGACTGAAAGAATTTAAAATGAAAATAGGCTCATAATGACTTAAAGATGAGGCTGTTTCTGAAAGTTGTTATTTTAAGTTAAATGCTGAAGAGGATATCTGTGGTATAAGTTACTTAAGACTATTTTAGAGCTTTCTTGATTAGAATTGGAGACAACATGTAATATGGCCTTTGCTGGATTTGGATCTTGCTTTATCACTTTGGCGTGTCATTCACCAAATTTATACGATCAACACTGAACCTGGTAGGTGCTAGATAGGAGTTAAATTCTGGAAATGAAGTTGAAACTAGTTGCACACTATTTAAGGAAAAGGACAGACCTATAAACCAGCAGTTGACACAGTTGGTAAGTGCTAGAATAGACCTTTGAGAGTACTGACTGTCCCTGAGCTGTTTTACTCAAGGCTAGCACTTTACCTCTTGTGCCACAGCTCCACATCTGGAAGCATTTCATGGCTTTTCCTGCCTGGGAATTGAGATTTGGAGCTGCAATCCTCAGAACTCAGCAGCCTCCTGAATAACCAGGATTACAGGCAAGAGGCACTAGTGCCCAGCCACTTCTGGCTTTTGGATGGTTAATTGGAAATAAAATTTTCACAGACTCGGGGATGGGAAGGTGGCTCAGTGGTAGAGTGCTTGCCTTGCATTCATGAGGCCCTGGGTTCGTTTCCTCAGCACCATATAAGCATGAAAAGCCAGAAGTGGTGCTGTGGCTCAAGTGATAGAGCACTAGCCTTGTGCTGAAGCACTCAGGGACAGCACCCAGGCCCAGAGTTCAGGCCCCACTACCAGAAAAAGAAAAAAAAAATTCTCACAGACTTTAATGCCTGGGCTATCTCAGCCTCCTGAATAGCTAAGATTACAGGCATGTACCACCTGTGCCTGGCCAAAGCTTTTGCTTTAACAATTACAAATGTTGCCAGGCACTAGTGACTCATGCCATATGTATGTGTGTGTGTATGTGTACATTTTTACAAATATTTAGCTTAGTTAAGTCTACAATAAGTACTCATATACTTTGTCTATATTTACCACATGTTAACATCTTGCCATTTTGCTCCATATTTGCTGAACCATTTGTTAGTAATTGCACATATATTGAATTTCACTTGTAAATATATTAACATATGTACCCTAAGAATAGCAGTTTCTTTGTGACTGTTGTTATGCCTTATAATATTAATAGTAATTCAATAATACCCGATAGCTTGCATTTAAATTTTTCAAAATTTCCCCTAAGTGTCATAAAGTTTTTGTTTTACTGTGTCCTCTAGGATCCAGTTATGGTTCATATAGGGTTTTTTGTTTGTTTTAATGTAGCATCATGTCCCTAGCTGTGTATGTTACTTCTTTTATTTTTCTTCATGACATTGACTTTTTTTAACCCAAGAGTCTAGGGTAATTGTTGGTAGAATGTCTCACATCTTGAAATTTACCTGATTGTTTTCTTATAGAGTAAAGATAAATATTTTTAGTGAAAATGTGATATAGGCAGTACGTACTGTGAATTTTATAGTACAATACATTATGACACAAATACCAGGTTCCTAATTTTAGTGGTGTTTAATTTTATCATTTGATTAAGGTAATGAGAACTAGATTCATTGTAAAGGCATATTTTACTCTTTATAACTAACGCATGGTCTGTAGAAACCTATAAAGACCTCAACAACTCTTTACTCACTATTTTTAACATTCATTAAGTATTATTGTACAATTTATTAAATTGAGTGATATAAAAATGGTAAATAAATAAATACTGGGCACTGGTGGTTCACACCTGTAATTCTAGCTACTCAGGAGGCTGAGATCTGAGAATAGCGGTTTGAATACAGCCCGATTATAAAAGTCTCCTTGAGACTCTTATCTCTAATTAACCACTCAAAAACCAGAAGCAGAGCTGTGGTTCAAAGTGGTAGTAGAGTACTGGCCTTGAGCAAAAGTGCTCAGGAACCATGGCCAGGCTCTGATTTGAAGCTCCACCAAAAATAAATAAATAAATAAATAATAAAATTCTTAAGTATTTATTACCTGAGACTTTGTTTCTTCTGTTGTAATTATATACATCTTAAATTTTAATAATAAGAATTGATTTATTTGATACTAAAATTGTTTGACTAGTTGCTGGCTGCTTTGTGTTTTAAGCATGACTTAAATCTTTGAGCACTCTTTGACTTAAAATATAATATAGTGCCAGGCGCTGGTGGCTGTAATCCTAGCTACTCTGGAGGCTGAGATCTGAGGATCATGTTTCAAAGCCAGCCTGGGCAGGAAAATCCATGAGACTCTTATCTGCAATAAACCACCAGAAAACTAGAAGTAGCACTATGGCTCAAGTAGTAGAGCGCTGGCCTTGACCTGAAGAGCTGAGGGACATTGCCCAGGCCCAGAGTTCAAGCCCCATGACCGACCAAAAAAAAAACCCAACATATATATATATGTATACACACACACACACACACACACGCAATATATATATATATATATGTATACACACACACACACACACACACGCAGTATAGTACCCAGCTATATCTGGTACTTTTATTGGTTTAAAATCAAATCTAGGTATAAATTTGCTTATTGCTGTATTTCTTGCCATTGCAGATTGGCTCTTTTCATGGAAAAATGAGGGAGCTCTTTGCTCTCCTCTTTTATTGAGTTCACATTAATACCTCCAATTCATATTCAGAACAAGGAGTTCTTACCTTTTATTATATTTCCTTCCTCACATAATAAAACCCTAGTTCCCAGTGTCACATCCTCTACCCCCCCCCTTTTTTTTTTTTTTTGGTGCTGGTGTTAGGGCTTGAACTTAGGGACAGGGCACTCACTGTCCCTGAGCTTATTTTGCTAAAACCCTACTACTTTAGCCATAGTTCCACTTCTGGCATATCCTGTACTAGCCCAATAACCTAATAACTACCTGTTAAATAATATTGAGGATTATTCACATTCATGATTTTGTACCTAACTGAGAGCTATAGTCCATTGCTACAACCCAGAATTGTGAAAGAGTATTATTGCTAGCTGGAGACAAGATCAACACACAGACTATGTTTTCTACTGAATGCATATGCCATTTTTGTAACATCATATAATCTGTTTGTCCTTGACTATGTAATGAATTTGCATTTGTTTGCAGTAGACCTCTATAGGTAATGGTGACCTGTGTTCTCAGTGCTTCTTTCCAATTCCAGAATGTGTATTTAAAAACTAATAATTTTGGTATATAATCTGGTTATCTGATTATTGTTATATATTATAAACCAAGTAATAGATGATTTTCTGATTCTTAAGACTGATGATTCTTAAGACTAATTGTTATAAAGTCTAAGATGTCAGTGTGTATATTACTAAGATACTGATCCTTAAGGCTGATCTTTAAGACTGTTTGTTATATATAAAGTATATATAAAGTCTAAGATGTCAGTGTGTATATTATTAAGAAGATTCTGGTACTGGCCAAAGCAAGAATCAGGCCTTTCTAGCTCTTTCCTAGCTCTTTCCCAGCTCTCTCTCTTTCCCAGCTCTCCCAGCTCTCTTTCCCAGGCCTTTCCCCGCCGTGTGGAGGGCCAACATGGCCTGGTGCCAGCCGGAATGATTAATAAACCTACCCCTTACCTGAAAAAAAAAAAAAGTTTACATTTAAAAGATTCTATAGTGAAATTTTAACATACCAGGAATCAAGTCATAATTCCTTGCTCAGAAATGATCTGTAGAAGCTGGGTACTAGTGTCTCATGCCTCTAACTATAGCTCTTAAGTGTCTGAGATCTGAGAATTGTAGTTCAAAGCCGACCCAGGCAGGAAAATCCGTGAGACTCTTATCTCCAATTAACCATTATAAAACCAGAAGTGGTGCTATGGCTCCAAGTGGTAGAACACTAGCCTTGAGCAAAAAAGTTCAGGTACAGCCTAAGCCTTGAGTTCAAGCTCCAGAACTGCTAAAAAAAAAAAAAAGGCATTCACTAATAAACACATCCAAAACTGGTACTTCTGTTTTGGAAAATGATTATTTACTTGATTTCTTCACACATGCGCAAATTTATTGTATCTGTGTGAGCTGTTATATTCTATTTTAAGGAATTGGCCCATTTCATACAAGTTAACCAAATTTTTGAAATATATTTGCTTATAGAATCCCATTATTATTGTTATTGTTATTGTTGTCATTGGGGATTGAACTCAGAGCTTTACACTCTGCTTATTAGCTTTTACACTCAAAGCTGGTGCTATTAATACTTGAGCCACAACTTACTTCCTGATGTTTCTTGATTTTCTATTTACACTGATTTCTGTTCTTAGTTTTGAAATTTCATTTGAGATATTTATTTTGTCCCATGCATAATTTACAAATGTATTGCTAATCTCCAATATTTGGAGATTTTCTAGTGTTCTCTCTCTCCTTTTGATTTCTAGCTTAATTCTTTTGTGGTTTGAGATCTGTTATTGTACCATTTCAGGTCTTTAAAATTTGTTAATGGGCTGGGAAGGTGGCTCAGTGGTAGAGCGCTTGCCTTGGATGCTCAAGGCCCTGGGTTCGATTCCTCAGCACCACATAAGCAAAAAGAAAAAAGCCGGAAGTGGCGCTGTGGCTGAAGAGCTGAAGAGCTGAGGAACAGCGCCCAGGCCCAGAGTTCAGGCCCCACGACCGGACCCCAAAAAAATAAATAAAAAATAAAATAAAATTTGTTAGTATCTAGACAAAGGTAGTGTGTCTTAGTGAATGTTCCATGTGAGTTTGAGATTATGTAATCTATTTATGAAGGAAGTTACCTATAAATGTCAGTATGTCCAATATATTGATAATATCGCTACTAGTTTTCTTTATGCTGGAATTGTAAGTCTTTCAATATGTTGGAATTGTAAGTTTATTTCTTTTTGTGTGTGTATGTGTGCCAGTAGTGGGCTTGCACTCAGGGTCTGGGCCTTATCCCTTAGATTTTTCGCTCAAGGCTGGTGTTCTACCACTTGAGCCACAGTCTTGATTCTGGCTTTTTTTCTGGTTAGTTAGAGATGAGAGTGTCATGGACCTTCCTGCTTAGGGCTGGCTTTCAATGGTGATCCTTAGACCTAGTATTATATGTGTGAGCCACCAGCACCTGTCTTTGTCATTACTTTTAATCTATATCATTATTTTAACGTTTCCTATAGACAACATATAGTTATCTTTTCTTTAATATTTACTCTGAGAATGTCTGCCTTTGAACTCATGTATTTTAAAACATTGAAATTTAAAGTGATTATTGCTAAATACCTACCGTGTTTGTGTTGCTCATGTTCTTTATTGTCTTCAAAATTCTTTTGCCTTTTGTGCTTTTGAGAACTTTTGTAAGATTCTCTTTATTTTATAACATATCAATTAAAGTTACCTTAGAGTTTTCAATGTACATGTACACATACCCTCATAGTAAGCATACATAATCATAATCAAATACTATGTTGCTATTATTGTGAAGTATTAATTAAGGTTAAGAAAAAATAAGGGCTGGGAAGGTGGCTCAGTGGTAGAATGCTTGCCTCGCATGCATGAGGCCCTGAGTTTGATTCCTCAGCACCATATAAACAGAAAAAGCTGGAGTGGCGCTGTGGCTCAAGTGGTAGAGCGCTAACCTTGAGCTGAAGAGCTGAGGGACAGTGCCCAGACCCAGATTCAAGGCCCACAACTGACAAAAAAAGAAAAAAAGAAGCCTTTATTTTTCTCACTTCTCAAATACTTTCTTTGTTCACAAACCTCTTCTTGACCTGTATAATTTTCTTTTTATCTGAAAGACTTTTAACATTTCTTGCCAATTAGATCTTACTGACAAATTGGTCCTACTGGCCTCAATTTCTGTCTGTGAATGTCTTTTTGTCCTTTGTTTTTTTTTTAATATGATAATGTTTATTCTAAACAATCGTATATAGAACATATTTATAAATAGTCTCATATAGGATTCAAATATTTAAAATTTGGGGTGTTGACTTGCCTGTTTACAGAGCATAAGGAAAGAGAGCAATTACTGTTACCTTAACTTTATGAAATGAGAATTTTAGCACTTTTTTTTTCCCCCTTCAGTTGTGGAGCCTGAACTCTGGACCTGGGCACTGTCCCTCAGCTCTTCAGCTCAAGGCTAGTGTTCTACCACTTGAGCACAGCGCCCACTTCTGGCTTTTTCTGTTGATATGGTGCTGAGGAATCGAACCCAGGGCCTCATGCATGCAAGGCAAACACTCCACCACTGAGCCACCTTCCCAGCTCCCAGCAATTTCTTTACATTGAGTCAAATGCCCTTAAATGTATTTTCCATCATTTTAGTACATTCACTAGAGAAAAAAATAGGGTTTGCATTTATTATTGTATTTACTACCTTTCCTTCAGCTAAAATAATGCCATCATAATTATAGACTATAAATGTTATGGATTAATTAGTCTAAATTAGACTAAACATAAATCCCTATACCAACACACCAAAGTATTTAGTTTAACAGGGTCTGTTAGGTGTCTAGTCACCACTACCTTCCATTTTTTTCTTTTCTAAATTCATTCTGCCCTAGTCATCACTTATCACTCACATTTTATTTCATCAAACATCATTTCTCAGGATCAATGGACTTGAATAATCGTAAGTCTGTGTAGACCTTCCCAAGGTATGACTAATCTCACCTTATTTGGTTAATACTACAATGCCCCATACAGATCCAAAAGTGGTTTATTTCTTTAAAATGAAAGATAAAGGTATTGACTAAGGTTAACCACTTAGTGAAAATATATCAAATACATCTTATCCTTATGTTCACTAACTGGATCCTAATAAGCTACCACTTCTGTCACTCATTTAAGGCTTACAGATTATTTAAAAATCAAAATGGCTTCCCATAACGTGACGTTCCTTTGCAAATACCTGACAATTCAACTACATTATCTCTCTCCACAGAATGTCCTTTGTTTTTGAGGACAATTTTCCAGAGTTTAGTATTCTAGGTTGTTGGTTGTGGTTTTTCTTCTTTTTCTTTTTTAAAATTTAAATATTCTACTTCCTATTAGAGTTTGAAAGCTGATTCATGAGAATCATCTTTATTAGAGAAAAATAAGATAGCTGGATTTATATTGTAGCAGTTAAATACTCAAAAGGTAGAAAAGTAGACCAAATGAAAATTTATGTTCTGTTATTTTATAGGCTAACAAGGAAATTGAAGATTATTATTTGGTAGTCCTTTCAGGTACAAATGGTAGATAAGTTATAGGTATTAGTAAGAGAAATGTTAAGGTAAGCATTGGTATCATGGTAAGTTTAAGTTTGAGTTAGCTTTATGCTGTTGTTTATATGTCCTTATATGTCTTTGTTGATTAGAGGCTTGACCCCCAGATTGGTGCTATGGAAAGTTGTAGAATCCTTGAGAGGTAATGCCCTAGTGAATGATCATAATGTAGAAGGGTAGAGAGAATATATATTACCTTACCCAGACTCCATGTAATCCTTAAAGTACAAAAGGACCAAGATATCGCTTTGAAGTTCTATCAGTCATAGTTAAAGAGAACATACTTCAATTGTGCAGAATTCTTCACCCATGGCAACATCAGTTTTGGATCATTCCACATTCAACATGGATATGAAACTCTTAAAAAAAATTTAGTTGACAAAGAATTGTCAATTGTTTCCTCTTAACCTTTGTTTCCTCTAAGACACAGAGAAAACCAAAAGTATATTTTATCTATGAATATCCATTTTGTGGAATTATATAAAATTTATGAAAAGGATTTGTCCTTTTTATAATTACTGAAATAGCAAAAACAAGCATATGTATTAGCATCATCCAAAGGTATTTATATATTCTTTAACATGTTCATTTGGTGGCTGTTTTATACAAGTATAAGAGGCAAGGTTAAATTATTAAGTTATTAAAATATACTTGGTGTTCACTGTATTTTAACTTATTATGGATTATTCAGGATATAAGGAGTTTATTAATTCAATTTTGTATAATCTGAAATTTTTAAAATTTACAAAGGGCCTGAAATTATAAAATGATGTCTCAAGCATTATAAAATTTGTGGCATTGTAAGAATCCCTTTTTAAGATTATTATAAGACTATTATAATCCCTTTAAGACCATTATAAAAGTTGAATTACAATTATGTATAGTATTTCAAAAAGAAGTTGAGGGTAATGTATATAACTATGAAATCAGTGGAGAGAATTTAATTCTTATTAGGCACTGTTTGTTTGGTACTGGGGATTGAACCACAGCCTCACATATGCTAACACTGCTATACCTCTAGCCTCTATGTAATTGATTTAGTTAACTAAGAGACCTATTATGAGAAAATCTCTTATGGGAACATAAGTTACCAGGCCATTTATATTTATATTTGGGCTGCAGAATATGGATAGTAAATCTGCCTCAGAAAGAATCCTAGAGAGGGATACTTGCTTCTTAATTGATCTTCAATCTAGTTTAGAGGGTTATTTTTCTAAGTAAGACATTTCAGCTTAAGTTGTCATTTCACCTTTTTTGTCATTTGATTTCTCTTTGAAATTACCAGATAATATGATGGTGGAACGTAAAGACGAGGCATAGAAGAAAGAGGAAAAAAATAGCATTATCTTGGAATGAAAACTACTGTTAGTATATTACATGTGAATATTGTGAATTATGGTTTATTTGATGAAAGTTTTCTTCTAATTTGAGTTTCATAATTTGATCTAAATTACTTTGTCATATTTCTGAGTAGACAACTCACATTTGCTAACATTCTTTTGTTCTCACAGTTTTCAGCCTATGATCACATTCAATCTCCAAAAGTAAAGTTTTCTCAAGAAATGCCAGTCAATGATGACGTATGTTTCAGTAGAAAAAGAGTATCAAGAAATTTATTTCAGAGTAATCGAGATTGTAATCCAGATTCCCTTGCTATATGTGCTGTTGGTAAGTAAAAATTGAGGATGATGAATATGAACTTCTATGAAGTTCATTGTTCTTTCAAGGGTTAATAGAACTTTAATCTAGTAAGCAGTTGAAGTATAATAGTATTTGAAACCTGAAAAACACTACACGCTCTTTTTTCATTGAAACCTTTTAAGAAACAATCTTGGGATATATTCACCTAATAAACTGCTCTTTTTTTTTTTTTTTGGGTCCGGTCGTGGGGCCTGAACTCTGGGCCTGGGCGCTGTCCCTCAGCTCTTCAGCTCAAGGCTAGTGCTCTACCACTTGAGCCACAGCGCCACTTCCGGCTTTTTTTCCCCCCTGCTTATGTGGTGCTGAGGAATCGAACCCAGGGCTTCAGGCATGCAAGGCAAGCGCTCTACCACTGAGCCACCTTCCCAGCCCTAAACTGCTCATAGTTTTGAATACTCTATGTGTCAGTACTTCTCTAAATTCTGAGGATATAGCAGAAAATATGAGTAGTAAAAAAATTCTAATACCTGCTAGCATTTGACTGTTCAGTAAATGGGACAATTTTTTGCCTAGAAAGCTTGCAATTTATTTGGGGAGGAAAGCAAATAGGCAAGCCATGATAGATGATGATAGATGCTAAATAAGATGCTAGATAAAAATAAGACAGCGAAGAGAAATATGGATAAGGAATGATTTTAAGTTATACAATGGAAATTATTTTAATTCATGCACTGGGAACTAGAGGCATGGCCCAAGTGATAGAGTGACAGCTGTGAGCTAGAGCAAGAGGCCAAACTCAAGCCCCAATACTAGCATACAAAAAAATAAAATAAATAATACAATGAAAGGTAGCCATATTCAGAAGGGAGTATTTGAAGCAAACTACTAATTACTAAAGTTGAGAAAAGCAAAAAGGGGGTAGTTAGAGCAAAATAACTTACAAGTATAGAAGGCGTGTTTTAGAGACATTAAGAGGCCATGAAGAGGAAGAGAATTCAAAAATTACAAAGATAATGAGGACTGTTATAAGGGCCATTAGGCTATTGAATGAACTAGATTTTATACGGAGTGAGAAGCAGTTAAAGAGAAAAAGTGCTAGCACTGCCTTATGTTTTCTAGGTTCATTTTGGATGCTATATTTAAAATAAGTGAAAGGAAGACAAGGGCCAAAACAGGAAGAACAGATTAGGAGTCTTTGTCTCAAACCTGAAGGCTTTAATCAAAACAAATGCAGTGAAATGTAGTTGAGAAGTGCTTGTATTCTGATTGTATGTTAGAAGTAGAATTAATATCATTTGCTGGTAGACTAGGGAGAGAAAAATAATTTTTCAGAGCAACTGGAAAGATGTTCAATTGCATATGTGTTACACAAAGTAAATATTATGGTAGTTCAGAGGACATTGCCCTAGACCATATCAGTTTAAAAAGACATTAAAGAAATAATAGTACCGGGGCAAGGAATGTGGCTCAGTGGTAGAGTGCTTGCCTTGCATGCATAAGGCCCTGGGTTCGATTCCTCAGCACCACCTAAACAGAAAAAGCTGGAAGTGGTGCTGTGGCTCAAGTGGTAGAGTGCTAGCCTTGAGCTGAATAGCTGAGGGACAGTACCCAGGCCCAGAGTTCAAGCCCCATGACCGACAAAAAAAAAAAAAAAAAAAAGGAAGGAGGAGGAGGAGGAAAGAAGGAAGAAGATGATCTTCATCAGTCATATTAAATCAGGGTATCTTCAAGATTATTCTTTTCCCTAGGTCAGTAGCTTCTTTTTTCCATAATAAAAAACATAGCAGGGACTGAGAATGTTGCTTGGTGGCAGAGTGCTTGCATGCATGAAGCCCTAGGTTCAATTCCTCAGCACCACAAAAACAGTGAAAGCCAGAAATGGCATTGTGGCTCAAGTAGTAGAGCACTAGCCTTGAGAGAAAAAAAAAAAGGCTTACCTAGTAAGTGTGAGGCCCTGAGTTTACATTCCAAAAATGCAGGAAAAAAAAATTGTCATGCATATGAATTTTTACAAAATAAGAAAAGGAAGAATAGAGAAGGATTTCAATACTGAACATTCAGAACTGGAGATGTGGTTAAAATGGTTGCTTACAAGTGCCAGACCTCCCTAATCTGCCAAAAAAATAATTTTAAAAGATCTTAATATCCAGAAGTATAGAAAAATGATGTTAAGTTAATCAGCTCCTATACTTTGCCTATGTACATCTCTAGGTTTGTGTTTGTATTCTTTTTTCTATTAAGAGAAAGAGAGTAAAATAATATGTTGGGGAAATGATGCCAGTGGGAACAGAAAGTGTTTTAGAACATGAAGATGAAGTATCTTGCACATTTTAACATTTACTGAATAGTCAAATGCTAGCAGGTATTGGATTTTTTTTTACTATTCAACAAATCATTCCTCTAGGAGAATTTATAGACATTTATGCAGTAAAGTTCCATCATATTTTGAACATGTATTGATTAGTTTATTTGATAGAGAAAAGAAGTACAGTATTATTTTCATGCCATTGTTTTAGATTTTTATAAGTGTCATAGTTCCTCTGCCATTGCAAAACGTGTTACTTATTGTACAGATTTTAAACAACTACAGAATAAGGGGTAATGTATAACTTGATGTTAGATTTTTTTTTTTTTTTTTTAGTCGATCATGGGGCTTGAACTCTGGGCCTGGGTGTTGTCCCTCAGCTCTTCAGCTCAAGACTAGTGCTCTTATCACGGGAGCCACAGCACCACTTGCGGCTTTATCTGTCTATATGGTGCTGAGGATTCAAACCCAGGGCTCATGCATGCGAGGCAGGCAGTTTACCACTGAGCCATTTTCCCAGTCCCTAGATTGTTCTTTTTTTTCTTTTTTTGGGTCCGGTCGTGGGGCCTGTACTCTGGACCTGGGCGCTGTCCCTCAGCTCTTCAGCTCAAGGCTAGCGCTCTACCACTTGAGCCACAGCACCACTTCCGGCTTTTTTCTTTTTGCTTATGTGGTGCTGAGGAATCGAACCCAGGGCCTCAGGCATGCAAGGCAAGCGCTCTACCACTGAGCTACCTTCCCAGCCCCCCTAGATTGTTTTATAAATATCATAAGAACTCAAGAAAGGAAGAGGTTAGCTTGAACTAGACTTTAAAGAAAATAGAGGTTTTGTGGCTTGTAGTGAGGCAGAAGGAAATATCATGAGCAGGAAAGAAGTAGGACCAAAAGTGTGAATGTGAGAATTAATCTACAAGATATGCTGAACATTCAAGATTAAAGGTATTGAAATCATAGTGAGAGAATAAGTCATAAAATTTTAGAATTACAAAGTACTTCCTTATTTTTTAGTTGAACAAACTGAACATTAGTGACATCATTATAAGCTTTAAAAAAAAAAACCTTCTTTATCTATCCAGGTTAGTCATGGGGGAGGAAAGGGATTTGAGGAATGCCTAGATAAGTTTAGAAACTACATGAATGTCCAGGTATGGTAGTACATGCCTATAATTTCAGGATTTGGGAAGTTGAGGCAGGATGATGATGAGACTGAGGCCAGTGTGTGCTACATAGCAAGCCCCTATCTCAACGAGAGGGAGGAGGAGAGAGACAGGGAGGGAGGAATGAAGTCAGTAAGGGAGAAAGGGAAAGAGAGAAAACTACAGGAATGTTGTGTAGTGTGTTTGAAAAGAGAAGAGTTCTTTAGTAAAACTTTTTAGGGTGGTATATGTACTATAATATGGAAGAAAGATATAGTGAGAAGAAATATAGTGAGAAAGAGAATGAAGGAAGACACTGCTGTAGTATATATTATTCAATATACCTATACCTATTCTTTCTTGCCCTTTACTAGTCTGTGTTTCTTAACATTAACTCCTACACAATCAGGTTTGTCAGTACCAAAGCTTTATCTTTTTTCTGCCTGCCTGACTCACTGTACTTATATCTGTTAAATAAGGTATTCTTGGGAAATAAAAGATTATTTTATGTTTTTCTCCCTCTCCCTCCTTCAGAAGGTGCTACTGGAACTCATCAGGCCAATCATACTGGGAAATGTGGGCAGTTTGGATTTTCACAGATATGTGGTAAAACTGGCAGTGTGGATTCTGACTTACAGTTCTTAGGGACAAATAACAGTCCTCAAGATAAAGGTATAAGTCCCAAATTTATTTGGAAACATTATTTTTATAATATGTATGATTTCCAACACTAGCTTGTATGTTATTTTATATAATTCTGTTTATCACAAAAAAGTGGTATTTGTCATATTATTAATAATGTGATGCTAGTGCATGACCATAATCCTAATACACAAGAGATTGAGACATGAGAGTTCAGGTTTGAGGTCACCATTGCCACGAATGAAACAGATTAGGAGAAAGTAAAACATGGGAAACATATAGGCAAATTCTCAAAGAAAAGTAGATATAAATAATTTTTTTTTGCGGGGGGGGGGAGGGGGTCCGGTCGTGGGGACTGAACCCTGGACCTGGGTGCTGTCCCTCAGCTCTTCAGCTCAAGGCTAGCACTCTACCATTTGAGCCACAGCACCACTACTGGCTTTTTATTTTTCTGCTTATGTGGTGCTGAGGAATCGAACCCAGGGCCTCATGCATGCAAGGCAAGCGCTCTACCACTGAGCCATCTTCCCAGCCCCATAAATAAAATTTTTAAGAGAAATATGTACAGTAAAACTAAAAACATTTTTAGTACTGCAGATTATATTTATTATGAGAGAATAATTTACTGAGAAGACAACTTTTCTGGGGTATTGGATATGTGTGTGTATGTACATATGTGTGTGGCATGCATTTGTGTGTATGTGTGGGTGACATATTTGTGTATGTAACTTGCAAAAGTAATCTATAAATGTAGTGGAAAATTTCAATAGGTTAAGAAAGTTTTATATTAGAAGATACAAAGGGTTAAATATAAACTTAATTAGATCTTTACCTAATACCATACAAAAATATGGGATATGGGAAGAAAATATGAATGTGAAAAGAAAATTAACTGTAAGCTCTGAGAATATGTATATATATATATAAATATTTTCTCTTTTGTTTTATTGCAGGATATTCTAGCCTAAATTTCAGTAGTAAGACACAGCCAACATTTGGTAATCAAGTAGAACATACCTCATTATTCTCTGGCTCAAATCCAAATCCAGGAGCCTTTATTCTTCCATACTATCCTCTCTCATCACCTCGAGCTAGTCCAAAGCACACATCTCCACTTAATGTATCTCCAAAGAAGTCTCAAGATAATTCCATTAGTATCTCAAATTCCTGGCCTCTTAAAAGTTTTGAAGGACCATCAAAGCCAAGTCCACAGAAAAAACTTGTCAGCCCCAACTCATCTGAACCTACAGGTAGAAATGATGGTAAAAACCAGTATTTTGTTTAAACTTATTTGCATTTTTGATTAGTATTCTACACTAAATATATAAAGGTGTTAGATTTTTTTTAAAAAACCTGATGAATTATGTTTTATTTCTTTGACTTAGTAAATATTTAGGAAACTTTTTTTTTTTTTTGGTCAGTGATAAGGCTTGAACTCTGGGCTTGGGCGCTGTCCCTGAGCTCTTCAGAGCCAAAGAGCCACTTCTGATTTTCTGGCAGTTAATTGGAGATAAGAGTTTCACTGACTTCCCTGGATTTGAACCTCTATCCTCAGATTTCAGCCTCCTGAGTAGCTAGGATTACAGGCATGAGCTACCGGCGCCTGGCTTAGGAATCTATTTAATAGTGTAGTAGAGTGAGCTACTGGTGTCCAGCTTAGGAAGCTATTTAATAATATATATATAAAATAGTGTAATATAAAATCTGGCCAAAATGGTCATGTGGTTTTTTTTATATTGACACTTCAAAAGCTTCTTAAAAAAAAAGAAGTAATAAAGCTTTAATATTGCACTTATTATCTAAGAGCCTGCAAACAGATATAAAATATCATTTATATTTTTATTATTTACTATATTTAATGCCTGTCTCATTAAATATTTATTATATGTTAACTATATTTTGAAGGGTTATTATTTATTACAAACTAAAATATTCTTTATAATATTCCATCTCAAAGCCATGTAATTAGAGTATGAGTTCATTCAGAACAAATCCAGTTTTTGAAAGAAAAGTCTGTTAAAGGAATCATCCATATCTTACAGTTTTTCTGTCCCTGGCCACTGAGGTAAAATGTTTCACCCCACAGCGTTACTGTGGGGTGAAACAAACTCAGCTGACTGCCTATTTTTCTTTTCTTTTCTTCAGTTGTGGGGCTTGAACTCAGGGCCTGGGTGCTGTCCTTGAGCTCTTTTGCTCAAGGCTACAGCCCTACTACTTTGTACCACAGCACCACTTCCAATTTCTGGTAGTTAACTGGAGATAAGAGTCTCATGGACTTTCCTGCCCAGGCTGCCTTTGAACCTCAATCCTCAGATCTCAGCCTCTAAAAAGCTAAGATTACAGATGTGAGCCACTGGCTGCCAATTTCTTATTCTTTCACTTTCTCTTAACATTGAACTTTCATTTCCTTCTATTAATTTTTTTTAGGGGGGTCCGGTCGTGGGGCCTGAACTCTAGGCCTGGGCGCTGTCCCTCAGCAATTCAGCTCAAGGCTAGCGCTCTACCACTTGAGCCACAGTACCACTTCTGGCTTTTTTCTTTTTGCTTATGTGGTGCTGAGGAATCAAACCCAGGGCCTCATGCATGCAAGGCAAGCGCTTTACCACTGAGCCACCTTCCCAGCCTCCTATTAATTTTTTTTTTACCTTTCATATAGGATCAAATACTTTATTAGGAGCTAAGACTTTGTTTGGTCTAGGGTTGTGGCACAGTGGGAAAGGGCTTGTCTAGTAGGCATAAGGCTCTCAGTTTGCTACCCAGCACTATAAAACATAAATAAATAAAATAAAATACAATAACATTCAAGTAGAGACTTGCTTTCCCAAGTGACCATTATTATTGCATCACATATATTAGTTATTGAGATATTACTTTTGTAATTAAACCAGAAGAGTAGCCCTTCATGTTTATTTTGGACTTTTATCATAACAAACATTGTTCATGGTGATATGTATGATGATAGGTTACAGTGTAACCTGGTATATAATAGTTTTTTGCATTGTGAAAGAATTTCATGTTTATTTTTGTTATATTCATTAAATGATGTTGATACTTTTATCTCATTTTAAATAGTATTTTTAATAAAATGGAATGTGCCTTGAAAATACTGTATTCTAAACACTTTATGGAAAAAATAACCTGTATTTTTTGCTCAGGAGAAAATTATCAAGAAAAGCCTTCTCCAGTTCAACTTACACCTGCCTTGGTGAGATCACCATCTTCCCGAAGAGGCCTCAATGGGACAAAGCCTGTCCCTCCCATACCAAGGGGAATCAGCCTTTTGCCTGATAAAGCTGACTTAAGCACAGTGGGACAAAAAAAGAAAGAGCCTGATGATATTTGGAAGAGTGAAAAAGATAATTTTATAATTGACCTTTCAGAATTAAATTTCAGAGATAACGATTTCGATCAAGCAGAGGTTAGAACTATATATCATTTTAATAATTTAAAAACATAATTTTTGTAATATAGTTGCTACTTAAGGAAAGTGTCCCATAACATTTTTTCTCATTTATAAAATATTTCATGTTCATTATAGAAAATGTGAAAATTCAGTGAATTATCAGAAAGGAAAATTAATCACATCAGATCTTACTACCTAGAATAATTTACTGTAACAGACTGAATTTCCTTCCAGAATTGCATGTATCTTTCCTTTTTAAGTTAAAAAATATGAATAATAATATAGCAATATATCAATGCACTAATTACACTCAATGAAGAATTTGTCATGTTTATTTCTTATTTTTAAGATAAAGTTTTACATAGTTTCTTCCTCAGTCCAGTTTCTTTCTGAGCTTTACCAGAGGCAACTGGTCTTCAGATTCATTTATGTTTTATGTCTGTCATTTTTATATTAGTATATTGTTTTTATATAATTTATTTATAGTAACAACAATTGGTTTTGATTTTGGCTGCAGTAAACATTCTTGAGTCTGAACTTTGTTCATATGTGTAGTTCTTTTTTTACTAAATTAAAATAATGTACACATATTTAAATACTAGATCACTCTATGTTATCACAGTGTTGATATTTAATGCTTCTAGACATATGTCAGAAAAGGAATGTAGTTGTCTTTCTTTGGATCCAGAGTACTACTTTGATAGGTGCTTCCACTTAATCATTTTACATGTCAAAAGTTACATAAATTTGTAAACAGTTAAGATGTTTTATGGTCTCAAGCCTGTTTCTAAGATGTAAACATTACATACTTATAGTTGTTCAATGATACAAAGTTAATTGTAATGCGTACCCACTTCAAAAGTATCTTTGGGGGCTGGGAAGGTGGCTCAGTGGTAGAGCTTGCCTTGCATGCATGAGGCCCTGGGTTCCATTCCTCAGCACCCCATAAGCAAAAAGAAAAAAGCCAGAAGTGGTGCTGTGGCTCAAGTGGTAGAACGCTAGCCTTGAGCTGAAGAGCTGAGGGACAGCGCCCAGGACCAGAGTTCAGGCCCCACAACCGGACCCCCAAAAAAAAAAAAAAGTATCTTTGATATTAAGTAATACATAGTTAACTTGTGAAACATGAAATTTAATGATTATTCTTTCCAACTTGTAATTGTTTATAAAATCCATAATCTTGTTTTTCCCTCCCTCACAACACATGGTATTCTGTGAGGTTAGGAAGATTTATTTAAAGGGAAGAAACAGAGGAATATCATTTTTCTGTGTGACTGATATATTTTACTTGAATTTATACATTTTTGAATTATTTTTATATAACTTAATACTAGTTCTTTTTCTTTTAGTAGATAATTGAAAGGTGAATTTTTTATAATTAGTATTAAACACTTAAGAATTTATTATTTGGGCTGGGAAGGTGGCTCAGTGGTAGAGCTCTTGCCTTGCATGCATGAGGCCCTGGGTTCGATTCCTCAGCACCACATAAGCAAAAAGAAAAAAGCTGGAATTGGTGTTGTGGCTCAAGAGGTAGAGCGCTAGTCTTGAGCTGAAGAGCTGAGGGACAGCGCCCAGGCTCAGAGCTCAGGCCCCATGACTGACCCAAAAAAAAAAAAAAAAGAATTTATTATTTTTAGATATTCATCCTTGTAAACTTTTAATAGGAAAATGGTTCAACTGTTGAATCATCCTGTATGATTGTTTCAAATGGCCTATCTTGCCTTCTAGTTGCAAATATGATATTTTTTACTTGTTTAGAGGTCACTGTTAAGCCTCTTTTTTTTGGGGGGGGGGTCTGGTCATGGGGCCTGAACTCTAGGCCTGGGCACTGTCCCTCAGCTCTTCAGCTCAAGGCTAGCGCTCTAGCACTTGAGCCACAGCGCCACTTCTGGCTTTTTTTTTTTTTTTTTTTTTTTTTTTTGCTTATGTGGTGCTGAGGAATGGAACCCAGGGCCTCAGGCATGCAAGGCAAGCACTCTACCACTGAGCCACCTTCCCAGCCCCAAAAGACGTGATTTTTTTTTGGGGGGGGGGGGGTTTGTCGTGGGGCTTGAACTCTGGGCCTGGGCACTGTCCCTCAGCTCTTCAGCTCAAGGCCAGCGCTCTACCACTTGACAGCGCCACTTCCTGTTAAGCCTCTTTGATGTGAGTTAATTTTAAGAAAGTCATATACATTGTATGGACCATATTTGTCTTTTGCCATAAAAGAAAGTGTATTAATCCAAGTTTTTTCAGTTCTCTTTTACATTGAAATTTTCTTGGTACTTGATAATGTTTGTTTCATTTTCATTAGTTCATTTAATCTTCACACTAGCTTCCTGAGTTAAATAAAGCAATATCTTTTTTTTGGTGGGGGGGGTCAGTTGTGAAGCTTGAACCTGGGACTGTCCCAGAGCTCAAGGCAAGTGCTCTACCACTTGAGCCAAAGCTCCACTTCTGGTTTTCTGGAGATAAGAGTCTCACAGACTTTCCTGCCTGGGCTGGTTTTGAACTGCAATCCTTAGATCTCAGCCTTCTGAGTAGCTAGGATTACAGGTCTGAGCCACTGGCACCTGACAACAATATCTTATTTTTTATGCTTGAATTTATGTGTGTTTATGTAAGTGACTCAACCTTGCTAAGGATTGAAAAGTGAGTGATAGGGCTAGGATTCAAACCCAACTCACTGAATTCCATGTTCCTATGATTTTCTCTATACTCCACTACCATACTTCCATTAAGGGTATATTGAATTTACCTTTGAAGTATGAGGACTTAAAAACTTAAAAAACAGTTTTTATTAATTGAAGACATTATTTTCACTGAATGCTTAACCTTATGAATTGAAACATTAAAATTGTTTATGATTCTGTATTTAATGTGAACAAAACTCAATATATTAAATTGGCAATAATTTCTACTGTGCATTTCTAAAAATACTTGGCTTCTGAAGTTATATACCTTGATCTGTTACTCTAAACACTTGCAAGCTGAATGTAAGTCAGCATAACACTTTAGAAAGCTACTGATTTTGTTAATCTTCTCCTAGAAGACCTATAGTTTCATAATCACACCAGTCAGCTAAGATTAACAGTTCCCTGTCTGACTTTATACTCTGATATAGCTACTTTCTGATTTAATGATTCAGTGATTAGATAAATTAATATGTTCAGTCATTGTGTCCTGTGTTTAATACATGGTATTTAATACACAGTAGCAGAATGTTCCTCACAAGGAGTTATAACCTAGTAGTTTATTGATACCCACAATAATATCTGTACTGTTATACCATGTATACATACATACAAATATATACTGAGGAGTAGCTAGCTCGACAGTTAATAGAGTTTAAAATCTAAGTATAACTTTTGCTACTGTAAATATATTATCTCATGAGTGTTTTGTCTCTTAGATGCAGAGCTCTCTTAGATCTCTTCGTAATAGTGCTGCTAAGAAAAGAGCAAAACTGAGTGGCAGTACTTCTGATATTGAAAGTCCTGATTCTGCAATGAAACTTGACTTGACCTTGGACTCTCCATCTCGATCTTCCTCTCCAAACATCAGCTCTTACAGCGAAAGTGGAGTTTACAGCCAAGAATCGTTGACTTCTTCCCTGTCGACAACTCCCCAGGGGAAGAGAACAATGTATTTAATTTTTTTGCCATGTTAACAAAAATTTTGATCTAGACCTCTATAACATATTTGGAAAAGATTTAAAATCATTTCTAGTGTTTAAAATGTTAAAGGATTGAGAATGTAGCTTAATGGTTGTGTGCTTGCCTAGCATGCATGAAGTCTGGGTTCAATTTCTCAGTACCACATAAACATAAAAATCGGAAGTGGTGCTGTGGCTCAAGTGGTAGAGCACTAGCCGTGAGCAAAAGAAGCTCAGAGACAGTGTCCCAGACCCTGTGTTCAAACCACAGGACTGGCAAAAACAAACAAAAGAGACAGTGGGGAAGGTTATCCAGATTACCTTGCTTAGCCTCAGTTTGGATTTGGAGAGAACAGAACTCCAACTGCAACCTAGAACAGCTGAACAGCTCCAATTACCTCTAGTTGATGGATGTTTACCTCGCTGTTATCCCACTGTATCTTACATCATGTTATTTTCATTATCATACAGAAACTCAGGACTCCATATCCTAGCTCTTTCTTGCCTATAATAGCACTGGAAATAGAGCCCTGGCTCCCCAATATCAATAGAATTATTTTTTTAAGTGTAACAAGTCAACTTTTTCAGTTTGCCTTTACAACCTCTCAGTCTTAAAAGTTGATCCTAATCTGATTCTGGTCATCTTTGTTATCCTGATATATGATTGAGGAAATCTATTTTCTCTTTATATTGGACAAATATCCAGGAGTAGAGGTGTTATGGTATAGACAGATATAATTACTAAAGTTTTCCAAAATTGTATAATTTTGTACTTTTTATCAGTTATGGTTGTTTCCCATTATTTCTAATATTTGGTGATATTCTTTTGATTTTATTTTCCTTTCATTTCTTCTTGAACCTTGTTTATATACTGCTATTAGTAAATACTTAAAAACTAAATTAAAATTACTCTCACTTTAGTGAATTAGTACCTCTGACAAATTTAGTCAGAGATCCTCTGAGGAGGCATTTTATTTTAGCAAGTCCTAGAATTAAACTGCAGTTTTTGTGCCATTCTTAGATGTTTGTTCCATAATCTTCTCCTTCATATATATGTGTATGTATGTATATATGTGTGTGTATATATGTGTATATATATGTATATATATGTGTATATATATATATATATAAAACAGAGAGAGAGTGAGATTATTGTTGTTTTCGTTGGTCTTTGGGCTTGAACTCTGGACCGGGCGCTGTCCCTCAGCTCTTCAGTTCAAGACTAGTGCTCTACCACTTGAGCCACAACTCCACTTCCAGTTTTCTGGTGGATTATTGGAGATAAGACTCTCTCTGACTTTACTGCCTGGGTTGGCTTTGAACCTCAGTCCTCAAATCTCAGCCTCCTGAGTAGCTAGGATTACAGGTGTGAGCCAACAGCGCCCGGCTTTCTTCATATTTTTTAACTGAAACAGCAACTTTGAACTTGGAAAATTTTCGGAGGAAATCCCTATTGTAATGAACTAAGTAAAAATAGAATAGATTTACAAAGTGAACTTGAAATGACTTTGGTAAAGTAACTGTTCCCATGAAGACTTAAAACATGTATTTAGCTTTTAGACCTATAATGAAGGTGAAATTTTGTCTTGTATAGTCCTAAAGTTGCACTATCCTTAAAAAATTTTCAAACACATTTGGTAAGAGAAGTTTATCTTGTAACATTTAGGATTCTGTATTTCCTCTATTATTTCACTGAAATAATATGCTCATATCCTCATTTATGGACTGAATCTCCTATATTAAATTTAGAATTTCCTCTTTAAGTTCCATGCTTTAGCAGAATTATGTTTAGTCAGTTTGCTGCCTGCCTTAAAAATCATGCCAAAATTAGCTGCTGCTACCTGATTGATGCAAGGCTCCTATCAGGTGGGTTGAGGAGGGAAATTGTTGAAAACCACCATTTTAGATAAGTTTTTTCCTTCATCAAAATTTTTTTAAAATGCAGGGCTGGGAAGTGGCTCAGTAGTAGAGCGCTTACCTTGCATGCATGAGGCCCTGGGTTCAATTCCTCAGCACCACATAAGCAAAAAGAAAAAAGCTGGAAGTGGCGCTGTGGCTCAAGTGGTAGAATGCTAGCCTTGAGCTGAAGAGCTGAGGGACAGCACCCAGGCCCAGAGTTCAGGCCCCACAACCGGACCCCTCCAAAAAAAATTTTTAATGCAAATTTCCAGCAGTCTATTCTAGAGAAATTACTTTTTCCAAATATTTAAACTTCATTTCTTACTAAACCTAGTGGCAGACACTTCTGCCCAATTACTAAGAATTATACTTCTTTGTAAAATATGTTGTTTGTAATGTTTATTGCTGACTTACTCATTTTGTGCCACTTAATTTAAACCAGCTTCTTTATATGCAGTTGTAGTATTCTTTTCTCTTTTTGCCATACCTGGGGCTTGAACTCAGCGCCCGGGCACTGTCCCTGAGCTTTGTTTTGCTCAAGGCTAGCACTCTACTACTTGAGTGACAGCACTACTTCCAAAGTGTATGTGGTGCTGAGGCTAGGCAAGCACTCTACCACTAAGCCACATTCCCAGACTAGTTGTAATATTCTTTAACAAAGTGTTTTTTGTTGTTTAACAAGGTCTGTTTGTCTTTATAGTGTCAGAAAAGTATAGCAAGGAATAGTAGGAATATGATATTTGCAGCACCTTGTAGTAGGAGATAGTATGTTAGATACCTGGGTGATAATTTGATTTGGCTTTGGAATGGACTCATATATATATACACATATACATATACATATATACATTTATATTTTCTTTTTGTGGATTCAGACATTATATAGTACAATCAGTCTTTTCCATAGCAATCTTTTCATGAAGAATTAAGGAATGTATGTAAAAGGTTGGAAGTAAAAAAAGGTTGGAAATTCAGAAAATGAACTGAGAATGCCAATAAAAATTATTTTTAACCATAATTTTTCATACTCGCTGTTTTATTATCTAAAAGTCTAGTGAGTTAAAAGAATAGGACATATATAAATTAATGATGAACTGCTCTAAATCTTGAATGCTTATTTATATTACTTTATTTCATTGTAGATCAGACATATTTCCAGCATTTGGATCAAAACCTTGCTCAACAAGATTTTCTTCTGTGAAGAATAAAAACTTTAATATTTCTGAGCAAAGCTTCAATGCAGGTATTTTATAATTTATTTGATAAATACGATATATAAAAAATAAGATTGTTTAAATGATATGAAAAATGATAGCAAATACAGTTCAGATTAAGAATTTTTTTACTTATCAATTGTGACTAATCATTTTTAGTTCCTTAAAAAAAACTTTTAACAAAAATATGTTGGGAAGAAAATACATTTGTTAACTGAATTAGTCACTGTTTTTCCTTTAAGTCTAGGTATAGTTGTCCCTTACTTTTCCATGCAGATATTTTGAATTAGTGGTATGGATTGAAAACTGTCAGATTTTCAAAAACACCCTTAATAGTCTAACATACAACATAGTTTGAAGACCACTTGTATCACAAATGACAGTGCCTTTAATAAACAAGAATGTGAACATGTATATAAACGCATGCAGGGTCAGTCATGTAGATAGGCATACATACTGACTGAAGTATAGTATAAATGGAAATGAGAGTCCATGGTGAAAAGTTGCAGATAGCTTTACAAAATAAATATCAGGAAAGCTGAAACATGTCTTGACTTTGAAGGAAGGGGCCTAATTGGAGGAACAGACAGGTGGAAATAGGAATGCTGGGCAAATACAGTCATAATACTCAATGTATATAAACTGAGTGAAAACAGAAATGATGTAACTGGTGAGGGTAGATGGTAGAATGATGGAATGATGGAAGGATGACGGATTGAGCTATTTCTACATATACATGGACATGTAAAATTGAAAAACGAGTAATTTCCTTTAAAAATGTACAGTAACTACTAGCTGTTATCAGTTAAATACTACTTTTAAAGGAATAGGGAAGTTTATGCAGAGTCTTATGAAATAGGGATGTTTGTCATGTCTATCTTGTGTGAGGAAGTTTGTGAACTAATTTGGAAGTCTTTAATTTTTTTTTTTGAGGGGGGGGTCCGGTCGTGGGGCCTGAACTCTGGGCCTGAGCGCTGTCCCTCAGCTCTTCAGATCAAGGCTAGCGCTCTACCACTTGAGCCACAGCACCACTTCTGGCTTTTTTCTTTTTACTTATGTGGTGCTGAGGAATCAAACCCAGGGCCTCAGGCATGTAAGGCAAGCACTCTACCACTGAGCCACCTTCCCAGCCCTGGAAGTCTTAATTTTATAACATTGCTTCTCAGGAAATAGGGTTCACAGTTTCAGTAATCATTTTGAAAAATGCTATGACTGATCTATTTAGCGCTGGATTTTTGCATGCTCTTCTCTGTATGATTATTAACACAAAATTGAATTTTGAACAAATTATAACAGTAGTATGTTTATTTTTACATGATCTCCATGTCAAAGTGACATCAACTTCAAGGCTACTTTACATTATAATTGCCTTCTAAAAATCTGTAGGGGGGGGGAGGAAATGGGAAGGGATAGCAATGGGAAACAAAGGAGGAGGCAACAATGCTTGATAAGAAATGTACTCATCATCTTTCCCATGTAATTGTAACTCCTCTGTACAGTATTTTCACAATAAAAAAAATCTGTACATACACTTGATTGTTATGTTAGTCACACATGTGGGGATTTCATTATTACATCTTCATAGATAATTCCACTATATATTCCAGTTTCGCTCCTCTTATCACTTTCCCTGTTTCTTCAATATCAACCCCACCATAATTTTTTTTATTGTGAAAATACTGTACAGAGGGGTTATAATTACATGGGCAAGATAATGAGTACATTTCTTATCAAGCATTGTAGCCTCCTCCTTTGTTTCCCCTCCCACCATAATTTTTGTGTGTGTTAGAGTTTTTATTATCAGGGAATTCAAATTACACTTGAAGATAGAAAGTGCAGACTCTGCAATAGACCTATACAAGTTTGCTAGTAATTTTAATCTGTTTTTCTTAGTTTCTTCTCCTCTTAAATGCAACTGGCACATCTGTAGTGCATACTCTTCTCATTTCTTACCCACTGAACCTTCTCAGTTTTTCCTTAGCTTATAAAAAGAATTCTCTTTTGGAAGAATATCTTGCTTTTGTTTTGTTTTTGTTTGTCATGGAGCTTGAACTCTGGGCCTGGGGCACTGTTGCTGAGCTGTTCAGCTCAAGGCTAGCACTCTACCATGTGCTACTTTGGTTTTCTGTGGTTAATTGGAGATAAGAGTCTCATGGACTTTCCTGCCCGGGCTGGCGAACTGCAATCGCGGATCTCAGCCTCCTGAATAGCTAGGCATATAGGCGTGAGCCACCGGTGCCCAGCTGGAAGAATATCTTTAGAACTAGAAAAAGTAAATTTAGGGGCTAGGAAGGTGCCTCAGTGCTTGCCTTGTATGCATGGGTTCGATTCCTCAGCAGCACATAAGCAGAAAAAGCCGGAAGTGGCGCTGTGGCTCAAGTGGTAGAGTGCTAGCTTTGAGCTGAAGAGCTATAAGGGACAGCACCCAGGCCCAGAATTCAGGCCCATGACCAAAAAAAAAAAGTAAATTTAGGAGCTAGGAAGGTGGCTCAGTGGTAGAACGCTTGCCTTGCATGCATGAGGCCCTGGGTTCAATTCCTCAGCACCACATAAGCAGAAAAAGCCAAAAGTGGCACTGTGGCTCAAGTGGTAGAGTGCTAGCCTTGAGCTGAAGAGCTGAGGGACAGCACCCAGGCCCAGAGCTCAGGCCCCATGACTGGCCCCCCCCCCCCCCCAAAAAAAAAAGTAAATTTAAAACCAAATTTGAATTCATCTTTGATACTAGTTGGATGACTTAAGGAATTAAATTTTAGCAGTAATTGAACTTAATATATATTTCTGAATGTAATAACTGTTCCTCCAAATTTGTCTAATATTTACTATTTTCTAAACTTACCTAGTATTACCTGGGTGGGTACATGTAGCCTGAAGATTCTAGGGTATCATCTCATACCTGGTAAATCTTTATGGTTAGAAATCTGGACTTTTGAAAAGTCATTTAGGTATGTTAATGAATCAAGTTTCAGGATTACAATTACTGAATTCACTATAGATATTCTTAGTTAAATTTAACATTCTATAAAACTATTAAATTGCTAATGATTTAGCTTTCATAATTTGAGGTTTGGTTTACAGTACTCAGATGATTCCCACAAGTTTATTGTGGATTAATTACTGAAACATGAACATGATAATGCTCAGGATAAAGATTATTGAAAGAAAATATTGATTATATAAAAATTATTAATCTAGACTATCTTTGCAATAATGTTTCTAATCAAGGTTATTGTGCATCTACAACTAGTACTGTGAATTATGCTATATTTCCTGAATGATACAATAGTAAACTTTTCCTATGCCATTAGATTAGTGATTTATATTATTAGCAAGCATTTCTGCTCAAGGCCTATAAATTTTACTATAATTGATTAGTTATGAAAACTTTAAGAATCTAAAAAGAAATCCATATTACTTACGGAAATATAATTTAATATCAGATATGTATTTGAAATTTTTCTTTATGAACTAATACCTTTTATTTTAGTTCTTTCTAATCCAGCTGCCATCAACAAGCTCCTCTTTTTACCATCCTGTTTATTATTAAAATACATTATTGAAAACAAAGTATACTATTATTGTTGATGGTTTACATAGGAGCTATGTTAAAAAAAATAGTGACTCATTTAGGATTTTTTCATTTAGTAGTCATTTTGTAGTTACACTAGGTACAAAATATTATTATAAGATGATCAATTTACACATTTAAATCCAGATCAATTTTCTTGTTATCTATTGGGCATACAATATAACAATAAAACTTTGCTTTAATTAAACATTTAACTCAGCCTTGAGCTGAATTGCTGAGGAACAGCATTCAGGCCCAGAGTTCAAGCTCCATGACTGACAAAGTTAATAATAATAATAATACATTGGCATTTTTGAGTGCTAGGCACTGTGCTAAGCCTTTATGTACATTTTTCTTAATTTAATCCAGATGACTCTTGTGAAAAAGATTCTACTTTTATCCCTAGGTTCTCTCAGTAGTTTAAGTGGCAGGGCTATAACTTAAAGCCAGGGAAGCAAATGCTACGTTCTTAATCACTATATAATGTACAACCACCAGCCGGATAGTATAACACATTACATGGAAGTAGGGGGAAAAAAAGGAAGGAATGAAGAAATTAGGCCTCTAAGACTATTTTTAAATCCTGGATTAAAACTTTTTAAAGTTAAAAGTATCATTTAAACTTTAAATTCTTTTGTTTATCAGCCTATTTTCCAGCTTTGTCTGGAACTCCCTATGTAACCCAAGCTGGCCTCCAACTCTCCATCCTTCTGCCTGAGTGCTGGGATAACAGGTGTGTGCCACTAGACCTGGCTTAAACATATATTTATCTTTCCAAACATTACATTTTCTATTGCATTGAAATTTTAAAGCCTATTTTAAGAAATGCTATACTGTAATTTATGATATTTTTATCCATTAGATAAAAAAGCACAATATAAAATTGAATAAAGCTTTAAAATTACTATCACATTATATGTTTAAATATATTAACCTTTTTACAAGGTTAGAAAGATAGATTTGGAGGGTAGATGTGTACCTATTACATAAAGTTATCTAAATTATTCAAATATTTATTTTATTTTATAGAGATTATAACATCCAATGTAAGCATAATTGGTCAACGTATGAACTATGGGTTTGGATGTGGTGATTTTGAAGATGATAGGTCACATGACATTTCATCTAGTGCTTTAAAAATACAAAATAAGGAATACCCAAGACATTATAAGCATAAAAAAGGTTAGTAAATTTCATGACAGATTAATTTTTAAGATTTAGTATCTCTTTAAGTTAGAATCTTCCCTAATTTAATTGTACCAATAAAGAAAAGGTAGTAGGAGTCTCAGATTTGAAATTTTTCAACTTACCTTCTGTTGTGCTGTTAATTTTATAGAATAGGAGAATTCTTGGGTTTGTGTGTTAGTTTAGGCAGGCAATGAAAAAAGACTGCCCATGAGTCAAAACTGGGAATCCCTACTGACTTCTATCCCAAGGACATGCACAAAAGCTCAAGATTTCTTTAAAAAGAAGACATTTCACCACTAAAATGGAGTTGAGGCAATCATATCATAGCTGCACTTTAAATTTTTCTGTTAGGGAAAAACAAAATGATTTATGACATTTTGTGTGTGTGTGTGTGTGTGTGTGTGTGTGTATGTGTGTTGTTGTTGTTGTTGTTGTTTGTTTTCTTGAGTTGGTGATGAAACCTAGACCCTTGCCCATATTCTGAGTAAGTACTCTACCACTGAGCTAAAAAGAAGTGATTTTTGAAGTGTACAAATAGATAACTAAATATACTAAATAGAAATTCCAAAATAAGTAAGAGTTGTTTTATGTGGGTTGTATGTGTGTGGGGGTATGGTTGTGGCAACTGTGGTAATCAAAAGCTAATAACTTTCTGGCCCAGTATGGTGGATTAGGTGGATTGTACCTATAATCTCAGCACTTGGAAGGCTAAAGCAATAGTACTACAAGACAGTTCACTAAGTAGCTACTTTGTAAGACTCTATCTTGAGAAGAAAAGAAAAATCAACTTTTATATATTTTTATTCTTGGTTATCTTAACTCATGCCAGTAAGGCATGTTAGGATATGGATTTTCCTTTTTTTGTATAAGTTACCCAACTTGATGATGGGGCTTTTACTTGTTTTTTTATTTGTAAATTTCTTAAAACAATCTGTGATATAATTTAGTATGTGTTCTGTGAGACAGCAATAAGTTGATCGCATAAATGAAAAAATGAATATTCATTTATTTTCTTCCTCATGTAATAAAAATCAAAGCTAGATGCTGGTAGCTCATGCCTGTAATCCTAGCTACATAGGAGGTTGAGATCTGAGGATCAGGGTTCAAAGCCACCTAGAGAGGAAAGTCCATGAGACTCTTAGGGTCAGTTAACCACCAGAAACTGGAAGTGGCTGTGGCTTAAAGTGGTGGAGCACTAGCTAACCTTGAACAAAAGAGCTCAGGAACAGTCAGTTCCCAGGCCCCAAGTTCAAGCCCCATTACCAACCCCCTTCCTTCCCCTCAAAAATCAAGGACAATAGTATTTTCCTTAAGTAATCCGTATAATAATAGTTAAATAGGTTCCTTTGCTGCTAGGAGCATCCATGTTGGATAGCAGACTCCATATTTGCAACCTTGTTTTTGTTGGGATTTTTTGTTTGATTTGTTTTGAGATAATGCCCGGGTTGGCCTTATTCTCCATCCTTCAGCCTCTCAGTGGATGTTGGGCATGTGTACATCTCTTGATTAGTATTTAATTGTACTCCAGAAAATTACTTTACCATCAGAATTTCCAATTGTCAACCAAATGCCTACTAGCTCTATCTCAACAACTAGAGCAGCAAACATTCAAAACCACCCTTACTTTTCTTTCCAGAACTGGTAGCATTACTAGTTTTGGGGGGGGGGAGGGGTGGGTCTTGGGGCCTGAACTCTGGCCCTAGGCGCTGTCCCTTGGCTCTTCAGCTCAAAGCTAGCGCTCTACCACTTGAGCCACAGTGCCACTTCCGGCTTTTTTTCTTTTTGCTTATGTGGTACTGGGGAATCGAACCCAGGGCCTCATGCATGCAAGGCAAGCGCTCTACCACTGAGCTACCTTCCCAGCCCCAGCATTACTATTTTCATAGTTATACCTCTATAACTTCTTTTTTTTTTTTTCTTGTCAGTCGTGGGGCTTGAATTCTTGGCTTGAGCACTGCCCCTCAGCTGTTCAGCTCAAGGCTAGCATTCTACCACTTGAGCTCACCACTTCGTTTTTGAATGATTTATTCACAATAAGAGCTTCACGGACTTTCCTGCCCGGGCTGGCTTTAAACTACAATCTCAGATCTGAGCCTCGAGTAGCTAGGATTACAGGCGTGAGCCACGGGCGCCAGGCTTCCATAACTTTTTTTTTTTTTTTGGTCCTCTTTATCTATTTCCTGTTGTCTAAGTTTAGGCAGTGGTCCATCTTACCAGTTGTAACTCTTTGTGATTTGGGCCTTCATTTACCCTTTCTCAAAACTTTGCTACATGATTTTTTTCCTCCATTTTTGCCCTTAATATATGTTCTAGGTAGCTATGTATGCACTTTTTTTTTTTCTTGTGTGCTGGACCTAAGGCTTGAATTTAGGGCCTAGTCACTGTTCCCTGAGCTTTTGTGCTGAAGGCAGCGCGCTGCGGCTTGATCATCCCCAGTTCTACTTCTGGCTTTTTGATGGCTAGAGATAAGAGCCGCACAGCTTTTTCCTGCTCAGGATGAACCACGGTCCTTAGATCTCAGCCTCCTGAGTAGCTAGGATTATAGATGTGAACTACCAACACCCAGCTCATACTGTACTTTTTTTTGTGGGGGGGGGGGGGGGGAGGGTACTGGTCCTGGGGATTGAACTTGGCCTGGACACCGTCCTTGAGCTTTTTTTTGTGCTCAAAGCTAGCTCTCTACCATTTGAGTCACAGCTCCATTTCTGTCTCTTTTGGTAGGTAATTGGAAATAAGAGCCTGATAGACTTTGCTGGACTGGTTTTGAACTGTAATCCTCAGACCTCATCCTGACAAATAGCTAGGATTACAGGTGTGAGATACCAGCATAGGGCCATATTGTACTTTCTTAAAGAAACAGTACTAATGTCTTTATATTTTTAGTATGCTTTTTGTAGGATTTCACTCAAATGACTATGAAAAAAATGGAATGATGATTATCCAATGAAAACTAATAGTGTAATCTTGGGTGTATTCATTCAAAAACGTGTGAGACATGGAGGAGAGTAAATATGATCAAAGTACCCTGTACTCATGAAAATGCCGTAATGAAACCCAGTATTTTGAGGGCTGAAGGCATTGGCTCAAGTGGTAGGGTATCTGCCTAATAGATTCAAACCTGCGTTCAAACCCAATACAACCAAACAATGACAACCCCCACTATTTGTAGATTTAATAAACTACTAATAAAAGATAACTGTAAGTATAAAAATATCCTCAAATAGATTAAAGTGAATAACAAGTGAAATGCTGAACAGAAGTGAAAGACTCTCAAAAAGAAATATTGGCATTGTGTGCCGAATGGGTTCATTTTGTAACATCTCAGTATTTAAATTAGTTTTCAGTACCGTCCCCTTCCTAGCCTCTATTGGCTTCTTTGAACCTGCTCATTTTGTACATAATATCATAGAGCCTAATTAATGACTTGAAAAGGTGAGTAAAAACAAATGGTTGGAGTGTTAATAATCATGAATTAGTTTTTCTGTATTTGAATGAATTAGTAATATCAGGATATTTGTATATTAGCACTGATACAATGAGCAATAAATGAAGTTTACTTTTCTAATTAGTCATCTCTTGATAGCCCATGTGTAGATTTTGTTTGTGGACTATTCAGCAGATGTTTTCATTTACTGAGATTTGACATCCCTTTGCCATAGAATATTTTTGGGGACTCTGTAGTGCTTCTATTAGTGAATGCTAAAAGATTATTCCAAATTATACTGAAGAAATATGAAGTAACTATCTACATGTGTTTTTGTTTTTATTTTTGTTTTTGGGTCCGGTCGTGGGGCCTTAACTCTGGGCCTGGGCACTGTCCCTCAGCTCTTCAGCTCAAGGCTGGCACTCTACCACTTGAGCCACAGCACTACTTCCGGCATTTTTCTTTTTGCTTATGTGGTGTTGAGGGATCGAACCCAGGGCCTCATGCATGCAAGGCAAGCGCTCTACCACTGAACTACCTTCCCAGTCCCGAGTTTTTGTTTTTTTGTTGTCTTTGTTTTTTGCTTTAATGTCTTCTATGTCACACAAAGCCAGAATATCAATCTTACAGGTTAGCAAATCAATCTACTTAATTTTTTAAAGTCAGTTTATTAAACTTTTAAAAAGCAGTAAACTACTTTTTTCATAGACATAAATTATATTTTGTGGGCTGGGAAGGTGGGTCAGTGGTAGAGTGTTTATCTCACATGCATGATTCGATTCCTAGCACCACAAAAGCAGAAAAAGCTGGAAGTGGTGCTGTGGCTCAAGTGGTAGAGCACTAGCCTTGAGCTGAAGAGCTGAGGGACAGCGCCCAGGCCCAGAGTTCAAGCCCCACAACTGACAAAAAATATATAAATAAATAAAAATTAAAATTACATTTTGTTTTTCACTTTTCTGCTTTGATACATCTAACATGTATTTTTTTTTTTTTTTTGAAAAGTTATTCTGTGCCAAATACTGCACTAGTTCTGGAAAAGAATGTCAAAACTAGAGCAAAATCTCATCCTATATGGATCTTACTGCCTAGTAGGAAAGCGAATAAATAGTGAGAAACTGAGATGAAGTTAATCTAGCTAAGTACAGATTGCTGTGAGATTGACTTGCACTGTTTTTGGATGTCAAATTATTTCCTTCATGATTACCTTTTGTGCTCTGATTATCATTCTATATTTCTTCTTTTACCCTGCTATAAGTAAACTCCTTTAAGGGAAGAAAACTTCTGTTCTCTTTAGTACCTGTTGTATGGTTGATTTCTAATTAGAAATACTTATTGAGTTAATTGGCACATGTGATCAATTTATAAGCTCTTTGTATGAACTAATTCTTTAATTTTAAAAGACTATTATAATACCCTAAAATACTTGCAATAAGTAAACATTTTTTAAATGTGGAGTTTCTTTTTCTTTTAGGATTTACAAAATCATCAAATTTACAACAGATTTCCAGTTTTGACTTCACATCTACAAATACTTTATCAGAGGACTCTGTAGTAGTTGTTGGAAAAGGTATTTCAAAGTCATTAACTTTTAAGTCATATGTGTTCTTTTTACATGTAAGTAAAGCTTGTTTTTAAGTTGAAAAAATTAGAAGTGAATACTTATGTTTGCATTTCTATCCTCTAACAGAACAAGAGATGTATTATGTGACAGCCATAGTTGAGGTACTTCTAAGATAGTTTGAGTAGTTTAAATTCAAAAGGTAGTTTTTACTTATCAGCTTTAATAATTAATATAGCAATATGGAATTTATTATCTCCCATAAAAAGACAAATCAGGATGAACTCTAGTTACATATAGATATATAAATATATGAGGATAAGGAAACTTTTGAACAACATAATTGCATATCTCTTTTTAAATTAAAATTAAATTTTTACTGTAGAATTATTTTGTGGTATACTTTGAAATCATGCATCTTTTTTTAAAATAGACTAGAATAAAATTTTTGGGAATTGTTTCCAGCTTCTTGATAAACCCATTAGGTTAATTTAATATTCTATCCTCATTAGCTCATATCTTTTTGTTTTTTTGTTTTTTGCCAGTCCTAGGGCTTGAACTCAGAGCCAGGGCACTGTCCCTGAGCTTCTTTTGCTCAGGGCTGGTACTCTACCACAGCACCAATTCTGGCTTTTTCTGTTTATATGGTATTGAGGAATCAAACCCAGGGCTTCATGCATGCAAGGCAAGCACTCTACCACTAAGATACATTCCCAGCCTGACTCATATCTTTTGCTCTTTTTCTACTCTTCTGTTAGCTTTATATCCAGTAGTAACATTTTACACTTGTTTAACTCTGCACATAAATATCCTAACCTTATAGCATTTCCTCTTTCCTGCCTTGTTCATCCAAATCCATTATGTCTTTTAGTTCCTACTCAAATCTGTGTTCCTTGAAATGATTGTAAACATCCAATTCACACAAGCATTCTTATGAATCTTTCTATGGTCATGGTGTAGTTCCTACTCTTTTTTATTTATTAGGGTATCTATTTTATAATTACCTAAGTTGTTGTTCTTATAAAATTAATTGCTTCTTTAATATAAGGGCATTGTTTTAAAGTCTCCACAATAGCATCACATAAACACTTAATGACTATTTGATGATTGGTTCATTGCAGGTGTATTTGGAAGTTCAAATTCAGCACCAGTAACTTGCAACCAACCTGTGATACCTCCTGCAGAAAATGGGGATACGTTTTCAGTTAAACCAAGTATTGACCCACCAACAGGGGTTTATGGAAGAGCAGTTCAACACAGTATTCCACCATATCTTGATGTTGAAAATGACAAAAATGTAAGGTTACTCTCTAATCACTTGTAAAAATTTAAGTCAATAATATGTCTTTATATTAGATAATGAGGTATTAAGAGTATTTTGATTAAAAATTTTAAATTTAATCAGATAAAATATCTTATGCTTTTAATCCCAACACTTTGAAGGTTGAAGCAGGAAGAATACAAGGCCAGCCTGTTCTAAATAGCACAACTGTGTATCAAACACTGCTTCCCCCCCAATAAATTTTTTAAAAAATCTTCCCAATGTAATTGTAATGTCTTATTATTAATCATTTGAATAGTAGATTATTCTCCTTTCCCACTAAATAAATTTGTAAAGTGTATTGTATAGTGATATATAGTGACCTATGTCACTATATAGTAAACTATGTTACTATATAGTGAACTATGTAATTATATCACTATAGTGTGTAATATACTTTTTATATGTTTATGTGTATAAAATAGTTTTCTAGTATATCTTCATGTCATCGCAGGCTGATATCCTCGGGTAATGATTTCATTTCCTGTTAGATTTTAGGATTCTAAAAAAGTTTTGTTTTGTATAGTTTTGTGTGTGTGTGTGTGTTTGTCTGTGTCTGTGTACCATTACTAGGGCTTAAACTTGGGGCGTGGAAACTGTCCCATAGCATCATGCTCAAAGTTGGCACTCTGTCATTTGAGCTCTACTTCCAGCTTTTTGATGGCTAATTGGAGGTAAGAGTCTTAACAGACTTTCCTGGCCAGCTGGCTTCAAATCTTCAAATCTCTATACTCAGATTTCAGCCTCCTGGATAGGATTATAGTGTAAGCCACTGGTGCTTAGATATTTAATGTACACATGTACAGTTATCTGAGATGGAAATACTTTATATGTCAAACATCTTGAATACTTTTTGGATATTTCAACTTTTTCATGCAGACTAAAGTTTCCATTTCAAAATCTACTTATGAAAAGATGAGACAAAAAAGAAAAGAAGAAAAAGATCTTTTTGATGTTAAAGACTATGAAAAGAAAGAGCAGAATCCATGGGATCGAATGAAACATACTGAGAAAATGACATCAGAAAGTAAGTAGGACTGGGAAGTGGCGCTATAGCTCAAGTGGTAGAGCGCTCGCCTTGAGCTGAAGAGCTGAGGGACAGTGCCCAGGCCCAGAGTTCAAGCCCCATGACCGACAAAAAAAAAACCAAAAAGTAATTTGGGGCTGGGAAGGTAGCTCAGCGGTAGAGTGCATGCCTTGCAAGCATGAGGCCCTGGGTTCAATTCCTCAGCACCACATAAACAGAAAAAAAAAGCCAGAAGTGGCGCTGTGGCTCAAGTGGTAGAGCGCTAGCCTTGAGCTGAAGAGCTGAGGGACAGTGCCCAGACCCAGAGTTCAGGCCCCATGACCGGCAAAAAAAAAGTAAGTAGGACTGGATTTTTGGTGCTTTTTTGGTTTAGTAATATTCTAAAAATGGAGTAATATGATTGCTTTTTCACTCAAGAGGTAGAGCACTCACCTTGAGCTGAAGAGCTCAGGACAGCAGCTAGACCCAGAGTTCAAGCCCTATGACAGACAAAAAAAACCTCAGTAACTCTATTATAAATATTGATTTTTCTCTCATAAAGTATTGATTTTCTCATTCTGTCATGCTCTTGCGGCTTTATCTTGAACATTCTAGGACAGTGACTGTTTCCCTTTTATCCAGGACAGCACTTTACATCTGATAAACACTTAGCAAATGTCTGATTACGGAAGAAATATTGCTCTGTACACAGTCTTAGGATGTGTAAGGGATCATTAAGACTCAGCCAATAGAGAAAATCAACTAGAGTTTTATATAGGTGCCATGTACTCCCATATTGTAATTCTCAGTTACTGTAAAAATACTGTACAGAGGAGTTACAATTACATGAGCAAGGTATAGCTACACATTTTTACAAAATAGGATCATATTTCTTTCTTTTGCTCCTTTTCTTGGTGGTAGAGGGGGTTGTTTATTAGAATCTCACAAATTTTCCTGCCTGGGCAGGCTTTGAACCACTATCCTCAGATCCTGATGATACTCAGCCTCCTCAGTAGCTATGATAGGCAGCACCTAGCTTGATTTTGCTCTTTTTGAGGTACTTACATATTTATATTAGATGGAATATATAATTTTGAATATAAATTGTATGGTTGTGAATATCTTTGATTTGGGTATTCCCTGAAGAATAAACTAGTACTGCCACTTTCTCTAAGAAATATTAATAGCACCAGTAGTTGGAATTGCATTTGTATTCTTTTATTTCATTTATTCATATTTTTGTCGGTCAGGAGGCTTGAACTCTGGGTTTGGGCGCTGTCCCTCAGCTCTTCAGCTCAAACTGAGCACTCTACCACTTGAGCCACTTCCATCTTTCTATTGGTTTATTGGCTTTGAACCGCGATCCTCAGATCTCAGCCTCCTGAGTAGCTAGGATTACAGGCGTGAACCATCGGTGCCCAGCTTATTTTATTTAAATTTAATTTTATTGTCAAGGTGATGTGTACAGAGGGTTTACAGTTACATATGTAAGGTAGTAAGTACATTTCTTGTCAAACATTGTTACCTCCTCCCTCGTTTTTCTCCCAGTGGCATTTGTATTCTTTATGTCAAGGTTCTCTCATTCTTTATTTAATATATTTTGTTTTAGGTGAAGCATCTACTGGAGTCATTCCACAGTACAAAGAAAGGATAACTTCCATCACGCACAGTCCAGAAATAATAGATTCCTTGGAACTACGGCCATTTTCCAAACCAGAAATAGCACTAACAGAAGCTTTAAGGCTATTATCTGATGAAGATTGGTAAGTTAACCACCCTTAACTTAAAGCTAAGTTTATATAAAGAATAATGACCTTATCACATGTAAGTGTAATATAACTTCTAATATTTAGGCCAGAGTTCATCTACATTAATAAGTTCAAAAGACTCAAGAGGCTTAATAACTAAAAATAATCCTTTTTTTGTTTGTTTTTTGGGGGTCCAGTTGTGGGGCCTGAATTCTGGGCCTGGGCGCTGTCCCTCAGCTCTTCAGCTCAAGGCTAGCACTCTACCACTTGAGCCACAGCACCACTTTCGGCTTTTTTCTTACACCAAGCCACTGCAATCCTAGGTTCTAGATAATTTGAGTTTGGAGGTTCCCAAGGCAATTTGTTTATTCTCCTCCTGATCTGTGGCCTAAATTCTAGCTTCATCAACTGCTCCTCTAGTCTCTGTACAGCCTTCTTCTTGGATTCTACTACCTTCTTGGTTTTTGCATCTTTCTAGACTTTGGCATCAGCTCTAGCACTTCTCAGGTCTCTGAGATCTGCTAGCTGGTCTTTCTTGGCAATCTTAGACTGCAAGTTCATCCTAGACTTTTCAGAAGGCTTTGGTGGTGCCCTCCACTGGTTACAAAGAATTGCAGCAGCTTGATTGGTACAGAATCTTTGCTAGGGGCTGGGAAGGTGGCCCAATGGTACAGCACTTGCCTTACATGCATGAGGCCCTGGGTTCGATTCCTAAGCACCACATATACAAAAAGAAAAAAAGCCGGAAGTGGTGCTGTGGCTCAAGTGGTAGAGCACTAGCCTTGAGCTGAAGAGCTGAGGGACAGCGCCCAGGCCCAGAGTTCAGGCCCCAGGACGGGACCCAAAACAAAAACAAAAACAAAAAAAACAGAATCTTTGCTGGATGTTCGCATCTGGGGCTGTCAGTTGTTTTAGCTGCTGCTGTAATGTAATGGAGGCATTGTATGTGCAGAATACCTTAGCCGCCAAGCCTTCCTTGAGATCCTGAAGATGTTTATTTAGAATACCAGTATTGAGTCTATCAAAAAAATCATCCTCTGGCTGCTTGTCCTCCATAAATGCAACTTGTCTTTTTGCTCTATTGACAATGTTCCTTGAAACCCACAACTTTTTATTTTTTCATACTATATATTTTCATTGTTCTCTTTTCCTTCTTTCTCTGTCTTCTTTTGGATTATTTGTATACTATTATTCTGTATTTATTAATTTTATCTTTTTTGGACATTATTTTACGTTTATGTTCTTGTTCTAGGGTGTATAATATATATCTTTGATTTCTCTTTTCAGCTTCAAATATAATCTTACCACTTCACATTAAATTTATATAAGAATAGTAGACTTAAAGTTTTAGTAGATTTACTATTCTTATTACTCTAGCTGCATCCAGTAAGAGTATGCATAAGTATGTTACCAACTCCTTAATATACTGTTCTAATTTTTTCTTGTAACAAGTTATTTATCTTATTTTTTGCAGTGCTAGTGGTGAAACCTGGGGACTTGCTTCTAGGAGACAAGCTGTTGTGTCATTTCCTAGAGAAAAAATTAAAATTTGCTACATTCTTACTATTTCCATTGTTCTTTATGCCTTTTTGTAAGTCTGAATTTCATCTGGTTTCATTGTATAATTTCTTTTTCCCACAGGGAGAAGAAAATTGAGGGACTAAATTTTATTAGATGTTTAGCTGCTTTTCATTCTGAAATATTGAACACAAAGTTGCATGAAACAAGTTTTGCAGTAGTTCAAGAGGTAAACTTACTTTTCAGACAATTTAAGGATTTTTTTAAAAAACAGATTGGTATTTCCTTTTTTTTACACAGTATACCAATCTGTTTTTTTTACACAGCTCTGTATTATGTAATGTCAGTATACTTACTTGTATGCAAAGTAGCCCAGGTCGTCTTTTGTGACAATTAAAAAATTATTAGATGTTGATTTTTTAGGATGTAAGATAATATACAATCAAATATATTTCTTTAATATCAAAACTTACTTCAAACTCATAATTACCAATTTTCTTGCAGAATATCAACAAAATACGTTTTGAAAATTTTCTTTTAGGTGAAAAATTTACGCTCTGGAGTTTCTCGTGCTGCTGTGGTCTGTTTAAGTGATCTTTTCACTTACCTAAAAAAGAATATGGATCAAGAACTAGATACCACAGTAAAAGTTTTGTTACACAAAGCTGGAGAATCAAACACCTTTATAAGAGAAGATGTTGACAAGGCATTAAGAGCTATGGTTAATAATGTAACTCCTGCACGTGCAGTCATCTCTCTTATCAATGGAGGACAAAGGTAATGTTCACAATAATCTTGAAATACCCTTAAACTAAAAAAGGAAACTGATTGCAGTTGTAAATTTGTGGAAGTTGGGGATGAGAGGTTGTTTCAGATTAATTTCAGTCAAAAAAATTCTTTAATAATTCTTACCTGATATTGTTATTCTAATGCTATTTACATTCATGGATCTAGAACTAAGTAAATGTTCAGACTGAGTTCTGTTTTTCACTTCTTGGTGTTAGACAGTTAATAGAATAATTTACCATCTTAGTCTCCCAGAGTGACTTACGAGGAGCTGTTCAATCATGAAACTTTAGAAAAATCTTTGGAAAATACTTCATATACCAACTTTAAATGGTCATGTCCCCTTGTAGCCATTTACACATTGCAGTACGAAGATGTACAGCCCAGCATTTATCAGATGTGGTAGAATTTATGGAACCTGAACGAATTTTATCTGGAACAAAGGATATGGCTGAACGTTTATTACCAGCTGCTGCTAAATTTGCTCAAGATAGCTCACAAGAAACCAGGTAAATAAATATTAAAAATATTTGTGGTCTGTGAATATAAAAGTTTAGAAACAGAAATAACAGAAGGAAATGAACATTTTTCTAAGTGGGATCCCAAGGAATGTTACTGGGTAATAGTCTTATTTACCAATTTGTAAATGGTCTTGAAGGACTAGACAGTGAATTCCCCAAACACTACTGGGTAGTGAGAGACCAGAAGTCACAAGGATGAATTTCATGAAAGGATACAAGACTCTATGAGTGGGCCCAAAGTGATAGAAGTGCCTCATTGTGGGCAAACGTAAGGTAATACATTTGGGGTGTTGAAATATGATATTTTCCCAAGCTATTGTATATTTTACAAAAGCATAAGAAAGTAGGTTCACGTGAAAAATACAGGAATAACTATATCATCTATGAAATGGAAGTATTTGCATTTAGAACACTTCACAAATTTTTGATAGTTATAACTATAAGAACAAATGTATGAAGGTTCATAACAAACAGCAAAATAGGCAGAGTTCCAGTGGTTCATGCCTATAATCCTAGCTACTTAAGAGTCTGAGATCTGAGGATCAAAGTTCAAAGCCAGCCTAGGCAAGAAAGTCCAAGAGACTCATGTCCAGTTGACCACCATAAAGCCAGAAATGGAGCTGTTGTTTTTTTTTCCCCTTGAGCAAAAATGTCAGGGACAGTACCCAAGCCCTGAGTTCTTGCACCAGTACTGGCACAAAAAAAAAAAAAAAGCAAATTAGTATGTGTTACCATAATTCTTATAATGACAGAAATTTTAGATTTAGTCAGAGACCTGGGTTAAATTACTAGTCTACTAGACTGTCATTAAGCACATGACTTAAATTTTATTGATCTGTTTCCCTGTCTGTAAAATTAGGAAGGTTGGACCATATAATCAATAATATCTAATATAGCTAGCTGGTCACCAATGGCTCACGCCTGTAATCCTAGCTACTGAGGAGACTGAGATCTAAAGATCGTGATTTGAAGCCAGCTTAGGCACTTATCTCTAGTTAACCACTCAAAAACCGAAGTGGCACTGTGGCTCAGTGGTAGAGTGTTAGCCTTGTGCACAAAGACGCTAAGGGAAAGTGCATAGGCCCTAAGCCCCACGACCAGCTGAAAATAAATCTAATACAAAATGTAAAAGTTTTTATGCTTCACACACACACACACACACACACACACACACACACACACACACACACACACACACACACACACCCCTCTATCTCTCTGTCTGTCTCTGTCTGTCTCTCTGTCTCTCTCTCTATATATATATATGAAGCACTAATATATGAAGATAATTCTTTTTTTTGGTTGGTCATGGGGCTTGAACTCTGGACCTGGGCACTGACTGTGAGCTCTTTAGCTCAAGGCCACAGCACCACTTCCAGTTTTTTGGTAGTTTATTGGAGATAAGAGTCTCATGGACTTTCCTGCCTGGGCTAGCTTTGAACCGTGATCCTCAGATTTCAGCCTCCTGAGTAGTTGGGATTGCAGGCATGAGCCACCAGCGCCCAGCTGAAGATAATTTAAAGAAAGGAGAAAGGATTCTGAGTTTGTATAGATTGAAGACAACTATAAAGTTTTTCATGTTTTAAGACAACGGTATCTATTACTTTAGGTAGCTATAGTTACTCTTGTGGGAGACTCATTATATCAAAAACAAATAGAATAAGTACATTCTCTACTGCTTATAAGAAAGCACCACAAATGTACTAACTGAAGGCAAAAAATTATTTAGCTTACAGTTCATTAGGTCAGACATCTGACATGACCCAACTGAGTTCCCTGCTTCCTAAGATCAAAATCAAGATCATGTAAGGGCAGAGAATGGGAGAATTTCTTTCTAAGCTTATGCAAACCCTTAGCTATTTCATGCAATCGTAAGATGAAGGTTCTTGTTCACTTGCTGGCTATCAGTGAAGGTCACTTATATTGTTTCTCATGCTTCATTCCCATCTTTAAGCTAGCACATTACATTGAGTTACCTTCATGTATATAATCTCTCTGACTTCTGTAACTAGCCATAGAAAGCTTTGTGTTTTTAAAGACATTCGATTAGATGCATCTGGGTGTGATAGATCATTACATTCACAAATTCTAGGGCTTCATCTTTGGGGATGTGTTCAAAAAATCAGACTCATCAAGCATGGCTGTACATGTCTATGATCGCAGTACTTAGTAGGGAGAGGCAGGAGGATTGTGTGTTCAAGGGTGACTTACTCTATATAGCAAGTTCCAGATCAGAGTAGGCTACATAGCTAGACTGTATCTCAAAAACAAAAAAACAAAAAAAAAGTTATGTAGTTTCCAATACACTGTCATGTGGGTATCCTTGTTGCAATGGTGAGGCCGGAAGGGAAAGGGACAACAGCAAGGAAGGGAAAGGGTGTGTGACAAGTAATGTACTCATTGCCTTACTCATGTAACCGTAACCCCTCTGTACAACATCTTAACATTAAATAAACAAAATTCAAGAGCATTAGCTCATCCACTAGCAAAAGAAAAAAGATTCTTAATAGTTGTTTTATGTGCATTATTTATTAACCTTTTTTTTTCTCTTTTAATTCTTCTTTCTGTTCCCCTACTGAGTATCAAACCCATGTGTTTGTCTCCCAAGTAGAGTTTTATATTTTGCGACCTATTGTTGGCTTGGTTTAGCCATTCCTGTACTGTTGAGCTCTATAGTAAACCCACAATCCTTAATATTCTTGGCTAAAAATTAGAATTGTACTTAAAACCTTGACTGCTCAGGAGTTACTTACCTGAATAGCTATAGAAGTTACCCCAGCTGTGAGGAGAGCTGGTATTTGTCTTCTGAAATTGACAGCCTTTCTCTAGCTTCATTACATTTGAAGGGATCTGGTTACAATAAGTGACTATGTCCTGCTTTCTTGAGAGGCCCTCTTCTCATTCTGATCATATAGATTCCAGTTTTGTTGTTGGTGGTTGTGGGAATAACTCAGGGCCTGGGCACTGTCCTTTAGTCTCTTAGTACACAAGGCTAGCACTCGACTACTTGAGCCACAGCACCACTTATGACCCTTTTAGGTAGTTTATTGAAGATAAGAGTCTCACAGACTTTCCTACCTGGGCTGGCTTCAAACTGACATCGTTAGATCTTAGCCTCCTAAGTAGTTAGGATTACAGGTATGAGCCACCGGAGCCCAGCTTCATAGATTCCTGTTTTTTGTTTTTTGTGTTTTGTTTCACTGTCAAGGTGATGTACTGAGGGGTTACAGTTACGTAAGTGAGGAAATAAGTACATTTCTTGTCAAACTTGTTACCCCTTCCCTAATTTTTCTCCCACTTTCTTTCCCTTCCCTCCCCAACTTGTACAGATCATTTCCAACATATTGTCTTGTGTATGTTGTTGTTGCATTGGTTCCCCCAATTTTTAAGCAAAGGTGTAACTGCAGTTTAGTTTAGAGAAAGTCCTCCTTGGAAATGGCACTGTGGCTCAAGTGGTAGAGTACTACCCTTGAGCTGAAGAGCTCAGGGACAGTGTCCAGGCCCAGAGTTCAAGCCCCACAGCTGACCAAAAAAAAAAAAAAGATTGTAGAGAAAGTCCTCCTTGAAGAATAATAAGGTGGTATTGTGGAGTACCAAATCAGACATGTCTATCCTAAAATATCTTCAATATACACTCCCATATTTTCTTTTTTGTTGTTGTTGGTTGTGGGACCTAACTAAGCTTTTGTGCTCAAGATTAGTGCTCTGCCCCTTTGAGCCACAGCTCCATTTCTGGTTTTCTGGTGTTTAATTGGAGATGAGTCTCATGGACTTTCTTGCCCAGACTGGCTTTGAACCATGATCCTCAGAGTAGATCCTGAGTAGCTAGGATTATAGGTTTGAGTCACCAGCCCCTGGCTCACTTCCATATGATCTAAATTTCTACCATTTCAGTAATACTTTGGGTTTAAGTGTACCCTAAGGGAATTATTCTTGAGTCTAAATAAAACAAAAGCACCTACTTTAGAAATTATTTCATAATTGAATAACATATCAACCATAGTTTATCATCTAATCTTGGATGTATATTTAAGTAGCTAGAAGAGAATAGGATTTTGAAGAATTAGAATCCAAGTAAGTTTCAACTAGTATAGAAGAAAAAGATGAAGGGGAGGGGTTCATAAATAAACGATGGTTTAAGGGATGGTTAAGTCAGGCTAGAATACCTGGACAATAGCCGTGCAGCAAAAGTCCAGTAGGTAAGGAGCCAAGAATGATGATAAATGCCTAACTCATAATTGTGCCAAATGCTGGTATACTAGTTAAGCCTTTCTGCTCTCCATTTGACATATGGCTGAAGAGGGCAAGTAGGAGAGCAAGAGAATCCTACATTTTCTAGTGCATTTAGTAAAACCACATTTCAGTGACATAAACTAGGGATCGTAATCTTGATGTTTAGTTTCTATTTCATTTTGTTTTCTATTTTATTTTCAGTTCATTTCCTACTAGAAAAAAATGTATCTAAGGACAAAAACTGAGTTTGTTAATATATGTGAAATCATTTACATGTTTCTTAAATATCCATAGGTATTATGGTCGGAAGATGCTTTTCCTCATGATGTGTCATCCTCACTTTGAAAAATTGCTTGAAAAGTATGTCCCATCAAAAGACTTGCCATATATGAAAGAGTCTGTTAAAAACTTGCGGCAAAAGGTATGCTGATAACATTTATTTTACAAACAACTTGAAAAAACAAAGTTTATTTTCTAATTAAGATAAAGAGAAGAAATAATTGTATCTTGGATTTATTTATTTATTTTTTTGCTAATCATTTGAAATAGATCTACAATATTATTTCATGGATCTACCGCACCAAGTCCACAGACACAATGTTAGGCTTCAAATTAAATGTTTATTGTGTATGAACGCTCACACCTAAGGTAAAGTAGCATGTCATTTGGTCTTTTGGAATTGTAAGATATGGGTTTGAATGTCAACTCTGATGTAGTGATGTTTACCATACCTAGTCTCTACTTTGGTTTACTTTGTCTCTTTTATCATTAGAACTCAACATTTATAGGAAGCTTCTTGAAGATGGGCATTTTGTGTTGCTTTTGTGGTTAATAAAGGTTCAGTAATAGGTATGAAGTGAGAGACTTATAGAACAGCCAGTGAAAAATAACCCTTTAACATCTTTGATTTTTGAAAAATGTGTTTAACTTAATGTAGAATTTTTCTGTTGTAATTTATGTCATTTCTTTTTCTTTTTTCTTTTTCTTTTTTCTTTTTCTTTTTTTCGGGGGGGAGAGGAGGCAGTCCTGGGGCTTGAATGCAGGACCTGGGCACTGCCGCTAAACTTCTTTTGCTCAAGGCTAGCACTTTATGACTTGAGCCACAGCGCCACTTCCAGCTTTTTCTGTTTATGTGGTACTGAGGGATCAAACTGAGGGCTTCATGCATACTAGGCAAGCACTCTACCACTAAGTCCCATTCTCAGCCCCGTGTCATTTTTTTTTTGAATGACCTTGGGCTAAGGATTTATTTATGAAAGTATAATATTAGGAAGATGTATGGTTATAGATGTTTTTGAAATTTTTCTGACTTTTGATCTTAAGTACTTTAATATACTACTTAACACTAACTACTTCAAGTACAGTGCCAGTGACTAACATTTATAATCCTAGCTACTCAAGTGCCTAAGACTTGAGGATCTCAGTTAAAAGGCAGCCTGGGTAGGAAAGCCCATGAGACTTTTATCTCCAATTAACCAGTAAAAAGCCAGAAGTGTAATTGTGGCTCAAGTGGTAGAATACTAGCCATGAGCAAAAAAGCTCAAGGACAGTGTGCAAGTTTTAGTTCAAGCCGCAGAATTAAGCACACACACACATACAAGAAGTAACTTTCCAAATGTTTATTCTCATATTCCTAATATTACATAGAAATGAATGAATTTCCATTAAAGTATGTCCATGTTTTTGTTGATTCTAAATTTTAACAAGAATAGTTGTGGGGCTGGAGTGTGGATCAGTGGTATGTGTTTGTGTAGCATGTGAAGGTTGCCTGGGTTTCATCTAGAAGAGAAAGAAAAAATATCCTTTAATGATTATTAAAAGCTTAATCTGTTATTTTTAAACTGCTTTGAAAATTACTATTGTGTAAGCTTTTAACTATTTTTTGAAGACTTTTCATACACTGCCTGTCTTTATACTTACAGGGTTTGGGAGACTTACCACTAGATACTCCATCAGCAAAAGGAAGAAGATCTCATACAGGCAGTGTTGGAAACACAAGATCTTCATCTGTTTCTAGAGAGTCTTTCAATTCAGCTGAAAGGTAAGGTCATTTGGTAGTCCATACTATTAAAGAAATTAAGACCTAGTTATAGTAATCTCAGTTGATTGTTTTTAAAGTTTAAGGACTAGAAAATGTGAGGTAATTGGGTTTAATAAGGCACTTATGTATTCCTAGTAATATGGTTTTACATGCACATGCTTTTGTATTACTTGTTGGTAAAGTTCCTCTTCTGTCCTTTACTGTGGGGTTGTTGTCTTTTGCGGGAGGCATATTACCTTGTTTAGTCATTTATTTAGTGATTTTTTTTAACTACAATTTATGCATTTGTGGCCAAGTTTTGTTGGAGATTTCAATCTCCTATGTCCTTTTAGTGGATGTCTAGAAGATTACTTATGAAGGGGTGATGGCTATGTTGTGTTGTATTTTCCTGTTACTAAATTGTCTCATATATATATATATATATATATATATATATATATATATATAAAATTATAATTATTTTTTGATGTTGGTCCAAGGGCTAGAGCTGAGGGATTGGATACAGTTCCTGAACTTTTGTGCTCAAGGCTAGTTAGTGCTCTATCACCTTGAGCCACAGCATACTTCTGGCATTTTGGTGATTAATTAGAGATAAGAGTCTCACAAACTTCCCTGCCTGGGTTGACTTCCAACTGTGATCCTCAGATTTTAGCCTCCTGAGTTGCTAGGAATACAGGTATGAGCCACCAGAACCCTACTAATTTGTCAAATAATTTTAATGCTCTTCTCTACTCAAAGTGTGGAAACTACTTTTTGACAGTCCTAGGGCTTAAACTCAGGGCCTGAACACTGTCCCTGAGCTTCTTCTTGCTCAAGGCTAGCACTCTACCACTTGAGCCACAGGGACACTTCCGATTTTTTCTGTTTATGTGGTACTAAGGAATTGAGCCTAGGACTTCAGGCTTGCTAGGCAAGCATTCTACAGCTAAGCCACATTCCCAGCCCCATGGTGTGAAAACTTAAATACAAAAGATACCACAGTTGATGAGCCATGACCAATCCATAATCAAGACTAGTTATCACCACTAGAAGTAAAAATCTATCTTTGTGATCTGGGGAGATAGTTAAACCATGGTGGTAATAGGAAGGCGATAGCAGGGATGACACGTGGAAGGGAAGGTGTGAAACTAATTGTGATTGGAGTGATTAAAGAGAAAGTGGATTGAAGTCATTAGAAAAGACAGTTTAACTTTGTGATGGCAAAAAGAAAGCAGAAATGAAGAAAATTGGGTAGTAAACACAGAAACAACAAAAATACAAAACAACTAATACAAAACAAAAACTAATAATACTCTGGCAATTCTGTTCCCAGCTAAGAATGTAGGGAATGAGGAAGAAATTAGGGATGGAGGAATATCCAAAGAAGTAAATACGAGTAAACAAGAAGTTCTACTTGTAGGTAGAAAGAAAATATAAATGGGAAAAGATTATAGAAAAGGACTAAAAAAAATATTTAAAACTAAGTACTGAAATACAGATGCAATAGTTTGAATATTAAGACGACAGAGAAGAGAAAGTAGTCTTAATATCCAAAACATAACATGTCTTTCAGTACTCAGTTTTAAATATTATCCTTGAGTATTTTTGCTCAAGACTATTGCTGTAACACATGAGTCACATCTCAATTTCTGGGTTTTGGTTATTAATTGGAGATATGAGTCTCATAGGCTTTGTTGCCTAGGCTGGCTTCCAATTGTAATCTTCAAATTTCAACCTATTGAGAAGCTAGGATTATAGGTCTGAACCACTGGCACTAGATTCCCTCTATTTATTTTTCACAGTATTTGCATACTATGTCTTTTTTTCTAATTACAGTATAATGGAAGTATAATTAATTTGTCATACGATTTAGCTATTTAAGGCATTCAGTGAGTTATACAACTGTTCATCACAATTTTAGAATATTTTCATCATCCCCAGAAAAATCTCATACTTATCCTATGGACCTCAAGTATAAAATAAATTCTCTACTTTTCTTATTATATCAAATAATTATTTCACAAATACATTGGGCACCAATGGCTCACGCTTATAATTCTAGCTACTCAGGAGGCTGAGATCTGAGTATTGCAGTTCAAAACCCACCTGGGCAAGAAAGTTCATGAGACTCTTATCTCCAATTAAGCACTAGAAAACCGGAAGTGGCACTGTGGCTCAGGTGGTAGAGAGCTCGCCTTGAGCTTAAGAGCTCAACATCAGCACTCAAGCCCCACAAACAAACAAACAAAAAAGAAAAGAAAAGAAAACTAGTGATAAATACATCTACCTCTGCATTTAAAACAATTTTTAATTTATTATTATTATTATTATAAAGGTAATGTATAGAGGGGTTACATTTACATGAGTCAGGTAAAGAGTACATTTCTTTTTTGGACAATGTCATCCCTAGCTCTGCATTTTAGATCAGTAACCTGTGCCCACTGTCAGGACTATTGAGTCATTTTTAAGGCAATTTTCAGGAAATCATACCAATCATAGACATGTTTGGTAACTTGTCCTTTTTACCATTGTTTTCAAGCCCTGACAATTGGAGATAACTTTTTATTTTCAAAGGGGGTTGTCATGTGTCATGTTGAGTTACCCCTTTGTATCCATAAAAGATATTATGCTATTCATACTATATCATTCCTGTGATAAGACCTGCCAGTGTCAAGTTTCTCATTTTTCTGTTCATGATTCCATAGATACTTTTGCAGAAGAGTTAAGATAGTAGACCTGAAGGTGATCCCTAGAAAAGACTGCTTAGAGAAATTGATTGTTGGTTGCCAGATTGGATTTTAGAAAAATTTCAAAAGGATTTTGACTGGTAGAGTTAGGAATGGCTTAGTCTTCCATGAAAGTATAAGAATTGCACAAGAGATTTAAGTCAATATCTCAAGGAGTCAGAAAAAAAGTTGTAGTGTATACTTAAAAAAAGACCTGCCTGAGAAGTTGGGTTTTTGGTTGGCATTAGAAACTAGACTTTCAGCCAGGCGCTGGTGGCTCACGCCTGTAATCCTAGCTACTCAGGAGGCTGAGATCTGAGGATCGCTGTTCAAAGCCAGCCCGGGCAGGAGAGACTGTGAGACTCTTATCTCCAATAAACCACCAGAAAACCGGAAGTGGCGCTGTAGCTCAAGTGGTAGAGCGCTCGCCTTGAGCTGAAGAGCTGAGGGACAGCGCCCAGGCCCAGAGTTCAAGCCCCAGGACCGACAAAAAAAACAAAACAAAACAAAAAAAATAGACTTTCAAGCAGACTTTTACCTCTCCCTAATTGATTAGGAGGTCTTCTGGGAGTCTGGAGTTTTGTTTTGTTCTAAGCAGACAGTGTCTACCTGACCAGCCCTTAATAAAAATCCCAAGGAACAGTCTTTAGTAAGCTTCTTTGGAAGACAGCATTTCATACACATTATTATACATATTACTAAAGGAAGTGGTATTTCTTATGTGACTTCATAGGAAAAAAAACCCTTGAAGTCTAGCATCTGGTTTCTTCTAGACATGGTGCATGTGACTTTCTCGCTACTGATTTTCCTTAGTATCCTGCTGTATTAAATCTTAGCCAGGAGTTAAACTGAGTTGTGAGTTCTCCCAGAAATCAAGCCTATGAGAAATCGTGGCTGTGGTTAGATTGGTTCATGATTTTTTAAAAAATGAATTTATAATAGTAACTTTTGAAATTACATTTGTGATTTTTTATAGGAAAGTTAAAATGAAATTAATTTTACCTCTCTGTCACTGTAGAGAAGTAACTGAAGTTCGTGAAGTCCCCAGAAAATCAGTTCCTCGCAATTCCTTAGAAAGTGCTGAATACGTTAAAGTCATTACAGGTTTATTAAGTGCAAAAGATTTTCGTGATCGTATTAATGGGATTAAGCAGCTTTTATCAGATACTGAAAATAATCAAGAGCTTGTTGTTGGAAACATTGTAAAGGTAAGGACCAGTCAAAATCAATTTTTTATTTAAAATTTATGGTCAGTAATAAGTTCACTGGTTAAAACTTAACTCTGAGGGACTGGAGATATAGATAGTCCAGTGGTAGTACACTTCCTAACCCCACTAGCATGGTCAAAGGGAAAAAAGTGAAATTTCGTCTCTAATTTTTCTGTGAAATTAAAACTGAAATTAAGTCTCATATACCATAAAATGTATGTGTTATAGACACAAAAATGGAAATTTTTTAAATTCTTACTGGCTAACTCACACCTTGTAGGAAATGGAACACATTATATTTGTAATAAGTCAGTCATTTGCCTACTAATCTACATTTGCGATCTTAATTTTGGATGTCTTTTGGGATAGTTTTTGAAACCCTGTCTTTTTGCCGTAAATGCATTCCATATTTAAGTTTAACAATGTACAACATTCTTATTGTCTTAAGTCCAAGATAAATAAGATGTTATATATAAGAGCTTAAATAGAATAAAGTAGCTGGGCACTGGTGGCTCACGCCTGTAATCCTATCTACTCAGGAAGGTAAGATCTAAAGAAATGTACTCATTATCTTGTCCATGTAATTGTAACCCCTCTGTACAGTATTTTCACAATTAAAAATAAAAAGAGAGAGAGAGGAAAAAAAAAAAAAAGAATGTGGTTCAAAACAAGTCCAGGCAGGAAAGTCGTTGGGATTCTTATCTCCAGTTAATCACCGGAAAACCAAGAGTGGAGCTGAGGCTCAAAGTGGTAAGAGTACTACCTACCCTTGAGCAAAAAAGCTCAAGAGTAGCACTTGGGTCCTGACTTCAAGCCCCACAGTGGGCAATAAATAAATAATAAATAGAATAAGTAGGGAAAATAGTATGAACTAGCAAGAGAATTTAAATATAACAATATAAATACTTTAATTTCAATAACTTTCCAATTTACTTTCAGATCTTTGATGCTTTTAAATCTCGACTTCATGATTCTAATAGTAAAGTAAATCTGGTGGCTCTAGAAACAATGCATAAAATGATTCCTTTACTTAGAGACAACCTATCTCCTATAATCAACATGCTAATTCCAGCAATAGTGGATAACAATCTGAATTCTAAGAATCCAGGCATCTATGCTGCTGCTACAAATGTTATTCAAGCATTGAGTCAACATGTAGGTAAGGAGTCTTATTTTGGTACTCAAATTAGTTGGATCTTCTACATACTTCATACTTTTTACATATTTACTTCATATTTTCTATATATGTCTATAATCCTGAAATCATAGTTATTCATGTTTTTTCCATTTCGTAATTTTTTCCTTTTTTTCAATAGTATGTGAAATTATTTTCATTCACTAAATTTTGTCCTATTAAATGGATTTTCTTCCTACTTTAAGTTTTAATTCATTTTTCCTACATCAATCTCAATCTGATACACAAACTTGATCATAAATTTATATGTAAAACGTGACAGTAATTCTTTTAGAATAGAACATGGGCAAATCTTCAGGACCTTGATGTCTAGTAAAACATTAGGCATGATGTTGACAGCATGATCCATGGAAGTTAATAAATTAGACTTTAGTGTTTTAAATTGATTTGCAAAAGATTCTATTATACTAAGAACTACCAACTGAGAGAAAATATTTGTAAACCATGTATCAAAGAACTCATAGTTAGTATATATAAAAAACTGAAATTTCAGCATCAAAACAAGTAATTCAGGGCTGGGAGGATAATCCCAGCTATAAAGGGACATAGGTAAGAGGATTAGGTTATCTAAGGCCAGTCAGGCATACATGAAGACCTATGTTCCAGATTCCAGTACCACCAAGAAAGAAAGAAAACATCATGCAATTAGAAAACAGGCATGAAGGAACATTTTACTGAGGAGGATATATATCACCACTAGTCAAATATCACAATGGTTAAAATAAAGCTGTGATAATACCATGTGCTACTAGGCTGCAGAAAAACTTTTATACATTTCTACTGAGAATGTAAATAAAATGGCATAGCCATTTCAGAGTGACATTTTCTTTAAAAAGTAAAACAATACTTAGCATATAAGGTACTAGTTGTAGTACTAGGAAATGATCAAAAATAAAACAAGACCATACAAGAACCTGTATGTAATTATTCACAGCAGATTTTTTTTTTTTTTTTTGGTCAGTTGTGGGGCTTGAACTCTGGGCCTGGGTGCTCTCCCGGAGCTCTTATGCTCGAAGTCAGCACTCTGCGACTTGAGCCACAATATACTTCCGGTTTTCTGGCAGTTAATTTGAAATAAGAGTCTCATACTTTCTTTGTCCAGGCTGGCTTTAAACTGTGATCCTCAGATCTCAGCCTCTTAAGTAGCTAGGATTACAGGCATGAGCCACCAGTATGCAGTAGATTCATTTATTTATTCATTTTATTTTATTTATTTTGTTGGTTGTGGGGCTTGAACTTTGGGCCTGTGTGCTGTCCCTCAGCTCTTCAGCTCAAGGCTTGTGGTCTACCACTTGATGCACAGCGCCAGTTCCAGTTTTCTGGAGATGAAGTGTCTCACGGACTTTCCTGCCTGGGCTGGCTTTGAACCATGATCCTCAGACCTCAGCCTCCTGAGTAGCTAGGATTATAGGCATGAGCCATTGGTGCCTGGCAGATTCATTTATTTTTAGAAGTTATTTTTATCAACATTTATTAATTATACAAAATGAGTGGTATTCCCATACATGTAGCTTTATTTATAATGCTTACAAAACTGGAAACAACCTAGATGTTATTCATTGAAGTGGTAAGCATGGTATATCCTGTATTAATGCACTTGTTACTCAGTAGCATGCAAGTCAGAAGCAACCAATTTCAAATGGTCATATCCCCTACATATCAATCCATACAATATTCTCAAAATGGCAAAATTACTGAGATTATAAATGTATTAGTTGTTGCCAAGTTTTAATGGTGATGAGATGAGTATAGGTGTTTTCATAATTTTAATCTTAAATGTCTCTCATGCACTTGTATTGAAGGCTTGATCACCAGCTCATGGCACTATTGGGAGGTGCTCAAACCTCTAAAAGGTGGGCCTTAGTAGAAGAATGTAGGTATATCCTTGAAGAGAAGGTCAGAATCTAAGCTCTTTTTGACTTTTCTATGAGCTAACAATTTGTTCTAGCACACGCTCCATGACATATGTGTACTGTCTCAGCCCTAAAATAATCACAGCCAAGTGACCATGGCAGAAACTTCTGAAAGAATCATCCACGTGCATGGCACTGGTGGCTCACGCCTATAATCCTAGCTACTCAGGAGGCTGAGATCTGAGGATCACGGTTCAAAACCAGCGTGGCAGGAAGGTCCATGAGACTCTCACCTCCAATTAACCACCAGAAAACTGGAAGTGGCACTGTGGCTCAAGTGGTAGAGCACTAGCCTTGGGCTGAAGAGCTGAGGAACAGCACCCAGGCCCAGAGTTCAAACCCCACAATCGATTAAAAAAAAAAAAAAAAGAATTATCTACCTAAATCCTTTCTCCTTTTACATAGGTTTTTCCATGTATTTTGCCATGGTAACAGAAAGTCGGCATAGGTTTAACTGTAGTGGTAACATTAGCAAGAGGCTATGGTAAGAAGCAGTTCTGTTAGCACAAACTACCTATGTGATATAGAACTGTACACATTCATTCTTTGTTTTGATATTGTACTATAATTATGTAAGATGTAACCTTTGGATGCACAGGACCTCTTATCTTTAAAATTTCCTGTGAATCTTTTTATTGTTTTAAAATTAAAACCTTAAAGTCAGAAAAGGTAAAAACTATCCCCTCAAAGCTATCATTTGTGCTTTTATAAACCTATACTATAATTTGGAATAAAATGCCTTGATGATAAGCAGTGTTTTATTTATTTTTCTCTATATGATAGATCTTTTAATGATCTGTGAGATCTGATCCTCTCTCCCTTCCCCTCCCCTCTCCCTCTGCCTTTTCTTCTTTTCCTTTCCCTTTCCTTTCTTTCATCTTGGAAATTGTGGTTCCCTTGCTAAATGTAATGAATACTCTGGCCTCAGGTCCTCCCTTAAGTTCACAGCAGAGGAGATTTTATTGTTTTGGTGGAAAGTACCACACATCTCTCTCTTTCTCTCCCCCCTGCCCCAGATTCTCTCTCTCTCTCTCTCTCTCTCTCACCCAAAACTCAGAGACAGCCATATAATACACCCCATGTACTCATTGTTAATAGTAAATCCATGGCCAAACTTGTCATACTCACATTTCTATCCAGTGTTCCCCTTTTCCACCAAAGTCCTTTGAAGTAAATCCCAGTCTGTCGTTTCTTTGACCATACTTTGAAAAAAGTAAATACCAGTATGTCTCTACAAAGAATATGTACTGTTCTTAGTTTTGAGAGAAATAAAAAATATAGAAAACTTTATTAATATTTGATATTACTTTTAATATAAATATCTAATAATATAATCTTGGATAATAGAGCTAATGGTTTTATTCTTAGTTTATTTAAATTGACTAAAATGGTATAAATGGCATATAATATCATGATCTGAAATATGTATTCTGAAACAGCTGCACTAAGCTAGTTAATACAGGTTATTATTTATGTGAGATTTATTTTTTATTTTGGTGGGACTGGGAACCTCCTGAAGTGCTATTTTAGAAGTGCTATGAGATCTTACTATTTAAAAATATATTTTTAAGTAGTTGTAATAAGAAGTTGCCATTCAACAAAACAGTTTATGAAGACAGTTGTCTTGATCAAAGTCACTCTTTTCAATATTCTCATTTAAACTTGTGTCTTTGTTGTTCTTTTTATTTAGACAATTACTTACTTCTACAGCCATTTTGCACAAAAGCTCAATTTTTAAATGGGAAAGCAAAGCAAGATATGACAGAAAAACTTGCTGGTAAATACTCTTAAATTGTATTTTCTAAAGAAATTATTAACTGAAGATAAATTGGTGGATGTTTCATTTTAATTTTAGGATAGCTTCAATGCAATCTTTATAAAGTAGAAATAAATTGTATAATGATCCGTAGACCTTTTAGAACTTGTTCCTCCAAGTAGTTTAGATTTTATCTCCAGTACTGCAAACATTAAATTTAGAAAGGGTGGGAGAAGTAAAGAGAGCAAAGAGTGAGGGGTAGCAGAAAGGAGGAGGAAAGGAGAAAAGAAAGAGTTCAGTTTTCCCTTTAGGAGAAATAATACAGGAATAATCAAAAAGATGTTAAAATCAAATAATGCTCCTCTTCGAGGAATGTTGTTTCCATCCATGAATTAAGTGTCTGCAAGCCAGGAACTGGTGGCTCACGCCGGTAATCCTAGCTACTCAGGAGGGTGAGATCTGAGGATCGCGGTTCAAAGCCAGCTTGGGCAAGAAAGTCCATGAAACTCTTTATCTCCAGTAAACCATCAGAAAAGTGCAAGTAGTGCTGTGACTCAAATGGTAGAGCGCTTGCCTTGGGCTGAAGAGCTGAAGGACAGTGCCCAGGCCCACCTAGAGTTCAAGCACCATGACCAACAACAACAATAAAAAAAAAGTGTACATTTTTTTTTACCCAAATTTGGAAAATGTCAAGATTAATTTTAGGTTTGATTTCTGTCTTTATCACTTTTTTTTGGGGGGGGTCTGGTCGTGGGGCCTGAACTCTGGGCCTGGGCGCTGTCCCTCAGCTCTTCAGCTCAAGGCTAGCGCTCTACCACTTGAGCCACAGCGCCACTTCCGGCTTTTTTCTTTTTGCTTATGTGGTGCTGAGGAATCGAACCCAGGGCCTCATGCATGCAAGGCAAGCGCTCTACCACTGAGCCACCTTCCCAGCCCTCTTTATCACTTTTGCTTGAACTAATTGTTATATATGGGATTCTAACATGTGAAGGTCTCTGTCTTTGGGAAGTCTTTTTAAAGAAACCTAACTTCTAGGACAAATAGCATTGAGATAAATCTTGGTATCTTTTAAAGGCTTTTTAGTTAGCAGACTTTGAATTCAATTTTCAAAAGAGCTTAACCATATTTTTGTGTTTCAGATATTGTTATGGAACTTTATCAAAGGAAGCCTCATGCCACAGAACAGAAAGTGTTGGTGGTTTTATGGCATCTCTTAGGGAACATGACAAACAGTGGCTCTCTTCCTGGAGCAGGAGGAAACATACGAGCAGCCACAGCTAAGCTATCAAAAGCACTTTTTGCCCAGATGGGTCAGAATCTATTAAATCAGGCTGCATCTCAACCACCACATATCAGAAAGAGTTTAGAGGAATTGCTCGAATTGACCATTTTACATGAATTATGAATCTTTGATGAAATATGGTATAATGAACACAACAGTTTACATGATAACAAATGAAACTTTTTTGAAAAGTTACATTTTGAGTGCCTGCACTTCACATCTAGTAAATTAAGTTAATGGCTATTTGTATTTGCAGCTGGCGAGTGAGTACACGTGTCTAACAAGAGCCCTACCAACCTGTACCTATCACACAAAACTCCTGATAATTAATAGAACCTAATAGTCATGAAATACGAGGCACATGGAATTAGTCCAATTTTAATATTTTTTGAGAAGAGTCCTCCTCATTTGCACTATTCTATAGAAACAATTTATTGTCCTATATGTACAATTAGATTTGTAATTAAAAATATACTTTTTATTATGTAATCATGTTCTGTTATGTCTCATTACTCAGCCTTGTTTTATGAAGTGGAAGAAAAGTCATTGAACTATGTTATCACAAACTAAATTTTGTGTACTATTTGTGAATAACATGTATTTCTGAATCAGTCCGCTAATATGATTATGCAGTATTAGCTTGCTATGGCTGCTACGTTCATGTGATATATTTGCTAACCTTTTAGGTTTAATCATCTGCATAATTGTGAAATTTAACAAGTTATAATAAAGCATGATGACCAAAGTTTTAGAAAGCATTAAACATTTAAATACACGTTTAAAAAAACGTGTTGAATGTAACTTTTCCTATTTTTGTGTACAAACACTAAATTTTATTTCTGTATGTCCTGACATTTATAAAGGTGTTATTTTGCTGCCCAGTTGTGTAATTCTCAAAAATAGTGCCAGGTCTTCTATAGTTTTTCTCAGAATACTTGGGCTTACAAGTACTGTATGCATCTTAAAGAAGAAAAGGAATGTTATAAAATAAAAGGATTTATTTCTGTAGATGTGTGACAGGTGTTCTGATTTTCTAACTTACCTTTAGGTTAAAATAAAAATACATTGTAGAACTATTACTTTCATTTCCTCCATTTGATAGAATATTGACTTACAACTGTGTACCCTGGAGCAAGTGTGGGCCTCAGGTCTAATACCTGAGGGCTGGATTAGATGATTTTAAGGTCTTACCCTTTCTTTCTTTCTTTCTTTCTTTCTTTTTGGTTTAGAAAATAGATTTATTCTCCAAATTGTAAGGTTAGGCAATCCTAAAGATTTCTCTGTTGATTTACATATGGTTTAAATGTGTCCCAGGAGGGTATAAATATTGGGAACTTGGCTTCCAGTGTGACAATGTTAGGAGACAACAGAAAGCTCAAGAGGTGGGATCACCTAGGATGACAGACCACTCTACTCCCCAGCTTGCTGTATTGCCTGGGATTTCCCTATGGATCATGTCTCCCACAGTAACTACTGATACAGCTGGCTCCATGCAGTTTGGACTATCAACCCTTAAACCACGAGTGAAGCAAACTTTTCTGAATTCCCAGTGTCAGGTATTTCACTATAGTAATGGAAAAAATGACTGATCCAACCTCTATTTTTAAAGCAAGTGAATGCAAATGAAGAGCAACCTATGGTTTTAAATAAAAATACTAACACCATTTTTGAAACTGCAAATGGGACTCTATGAAAGAATAAATACCACATTCTTGCATCAAGGTAATTACAACAATGAATGGATAGAAATTAAAAATCTTCAAATTATTTATTTTCAACTCAATGAAAGACAAAAAGGCACTGGAATCATTTCTTCATCTGAGTCATCTGACTGACCTGCTAATTCCAATTCCCCTAAATCAAAGAACCTTGCGCTTCTTTGGAACTGCATAATCAGCACATACTTTGATCATTTTAATGTGTGGCAATTTCTTCAGATCAAAATCCCATTCCCTAAAAGTTTTAAGATTACTTCCATTTAAAATGTCTGGTATCCCAAAGCCATAACCATACTGCTGCCGCTCAAAGGTCTGGTCCTGCCAGTCCTTGATGCCGTTCTGTAACTCAATCTGCTCCAGCTCACCGCGGAATCCACTTAAGTATCTTCCAATTAATTCACAAGCGTCTTTTTTTGAATATCTCGTTTTTTAAGGATCCAGATGATTATGAAACCACTGCATTTTTTCACCAATAAGATTGAGCCGCAAGGCCTTTTCCTTCTTCGTGTTTTCCTTTTTATCTGTAATCTGAGCTGCTTTTCTACTGTAGGGATGGATGACCTTCACCCCCCCCCCACCCCCCGCCCTGTACTTTTTCCCTTTAGTACTTTAGGCATCTTGACGTCCTAGCGCAGAATTCCGCACCCCAAGGCCCCCAAAGTCGCTGCCTCTACTGCAACACAGCCGGGCCTCGCTCCTTCCAGGATACACAGGGGTGCAGAGGAAGCCTGGGCCGACTGAGGTCTTAGTCTTTTCTACAATTCTATGATTCTGTGTTGATGTTTTTTTTCCTCTGTGTTACTAACCACTTTTCTAATATCTTTGGCTACTATTTTAGGAGGATGGGTCCTGGAAAAGAACCCTGGGTTTCACAGATGGTAAGGAACTACTTGATCATTGAGTCCACTTGATCATTGAGTCCACGGCTCTCCCACTTCTGAAATTGTGATTCATTTTATACATTTCTATAAATTTTCCAAGAAAAGGAAAACAAATAGAAAAAAAAAGTTATTCTGCAGCTATATAAATCTAAACAAAGACAAATAAAAACTTTTAACTATGTTTTCTACTTATATAAGTAATTTATAATTACAAACCTTAAAAACATCTCATATTTCTTCTAAGTGTATTTTATCCTGTAGCTTACATGGATAAACTATAGTCCTATAATTGGGATTTGGAGTTAGCAGACTCTTTAGGACCAGATACTAAACATTTTTTGACATTGTAAGCAATAGAGAAATTATGGCATATTCAGTCACCCCACCCCTTAAAAAAGGGGGGGGGGGCTGGGAAGTTGGCTCAGTGGTAGAGCGCTTGCCTTGCATGCATGAGGCCCTGGGTTCGATTCCTCAGCACCACATAAGCAAAAAAGAAAAACCTGGAAGTGGCGCTGTGACTCAAGTGGTAGAGTGGTAGCCTTGAGCTGAAGAGCTGAGGGACGGTGCCAAGGCCCAGAGTTCAGGCTGCATGACTGGACCCAAAAAAAAAAAAAAAAAAGGGCTGAAGCCAGGCATGGTGGCTCATGCCTGTAATCCTAACTACGCAGGAGGCTAAGATCAGAGGATTGCAGTTCAAAGCAAGCCGGCCTAGCAGGGAAGGCACAAGGAAGACCGTGAGACTTTTATCTCCAATAAACCACTCAGAAAACCAGAGTGGTGCTTTGGCTCAAATGGTAGAGGCTAGCCTTGAGCTGAAGAGCTGAGAGACAGCATCTAGGCCCAGCCCCTAGCCCCACAACTGTCAAAAAAAGAACCAGGGGGCTGAGAATGTGACTTTGTGGTAGAGTGCTTGCCTAGCATACATGAAGCCCTGGGTTTGATTCTTCAGTACCACATAAACACAAAATGCTGAAAGTGGGGTCATGGCTCAAGTGGTAGAGTGCTGGCCTTGGGCAAAAGCAGCTCAGGGACAGTGCCCAGGCCTGAGTTCAAGCCCCAGGACTGACAAAACAGACAAAAACTTCCAAACAATCCAAGTTCCAGCAGCTTACATTTAGAATCCTAGCTACTCAGAAGGATGAATCAGCCAGGGCATTTACCACTTTAGCCACAGCTCCACTTCCAGTTTTTGAGTGGTTAATTGAAGATAAGAATCTCACAGGGACTTTTCTGCCCCTGCTGGCCTCAAACCTCAGACCTCATTATCTCAGCCTCCTGAGTAGCTAGGATTATAGGTGTGAGCCACTGGCACCTGACAAAGTGTAAGACTTTTTATCTCCAGTTAAGCATGAACAAAGCTGGAAAGGGAGCTAAGGCTCAAAATGGTAGAGCACTAGCCTTGTGCCATATAATGAATTCAAGCCTCATGACTGGCACCAAAAAACAAACAAATCTCAAGACATTCTTAGACCAGTGCTGGTGGCTCATGCCTATTATCCTAGCTTCTCAGAAGGCTGTGATCTGAGAATCACGTTTCAAAGCCAGCCAGGGCAGAAAAGTCCATGACACTCTTTTCTCCAATAAACCACCAGAAAACCAGAAGTGGCACTGTGGCTTGAGTGGTAGAGGGCTAGCCTTGAGCTGAAGAGCTGAGATACAGCATCAAGGCCCAGAGTTCAAGTCCCAGGACTGACCAAAATAAAAACAACAAAAAACGTTCTTAGTTGAGGACATATTGCAACAGGCATATGCACAGTTTGCCAACACTTGTTAGACTTTTATGATGTGACTTAGCTGAGCCACCATGAAATTTTGCATCAGCCTTTTTGATATGCATTATTAAAGGAACAGTAAAAGATAATAATTTTTGCTGATTATGACCACTGCCCTTATATCATTGGACTTGAGATTTCTAAATTTGCTTTGGTCACTAAATATTGAAGGTAAAGGTTAAAGGCAAAAGAAAACAACCATTATTTCATATGTGTAAGCTTAATTATCCCTTAGTAGATGTAGTTTGAAATTTTCATTTGAAAAAAAGCAGTACAATCACTATTAATATGAACATTTTTGTCACAAATCTTTGCTCTGTCTTTTATTGTAAATAAACCATTATTCTAGCAGAGACACAGCTTAAGACTTGGTTTTTAGAACATCTTCAGTATCTCAGAAGTATAAAATCTGTTGCATTTTCTCTGGGAAGCACAGTGAGATAGACACTTTGAGGCATTAAGATAAATTGGTTTTGTAAGGTGGTTTTTGTTTTTTTAATGTGGAATGCTGTATAAATTAAATTCTGGAGATAGGAAACAATCTTTTCAAATGTGGAGGCATATTTTAAAAAAACCCAACCAGTAACAGGAAGTTTTGTATGAAACAGGAAAAAAGTAAAAGTAGTGAAATTAAGGAAGCACTAGTCCCTGAGCACATGTGCAACAAATGGATTTTTTTTTGCGGGGGGGGGGGGGGGGGGGGCAGTCCCAGGGCTTGAATTCAGGGCCTGGGCACTGTCCCTGAGCTGCTTTTGCTCAAATCTAGCATTCTGCCACTTGAGCCACAGCACCACTTCCAGCTTTTTCTGTTTATGTGGTATTGAGGAATCGAACCCAGGGCTTCATACATGCTAGGCAAGCACTCTACAACTAAGCCACATTCCCAGCCTTACAAATGGATTTTGTAAATGTTCCAGCGAGGTCCATTTATAGTGTTTGACTATGCAGTATGTTGATAAAATTGTGAGGTTACGTCATTTCAATAAGGAGTGTAGTGATATATTACCTTCTACAACCAGGACTCAGCCTACAAGACTGTAGATAGTAGAGTTCTAAACTATAGAAAAACAGTAAGAATTGAAAATATTCTCTGAGTGTTGATAGCTGGTGCCTATAGTCCTAGCTACTTAGGAGGCTAAGATCTGAGGGTTGAGATTCAGCCACTGTTAGCACACAAATCTCAGGGACACTTCATCTCCAATTATCCAGGAAAAAGCTGGAGGTGGTGATAGGGTTCAAGTAATAAGAGCCCCAGCTTGAATGAAAAGAAGCAAGAACATGAGGCCTGGAGTTCAAGCCCAGTACTGGCACATGCACATCCAAAGAACTGAAAGTATTCATATAAGAGGTATTCTGATAGCCAGATTGATAGTTAATACATTTAGGTGTGGAAGGTAAGAGACATGTTAGTATTTTAATACTGTGACTGGTAGATGTTGATGTCATTAACTGAAATAGAACACTGGAGAAGGTAAAGGAAAGATGAATATGATGAGTGTAAGATGCTCTAAAGGGTGGAGGTTGGTGTACATCTATAATCCCAGTAGTTAAGAGGCTGAGGAAAGAGGATTGTGATTTCAAGGCCAGCCTGAACTACATAGCAAGATCCTATCTCAAAAAAAGTAGATAGGCCCAGT